AGTGACCGTGTTCTGTCATATGGTGACCACCACACCACGCTCACTGGAATGAGGACACTAACACTGGCCTGGATGCAAAGGCTAATGAGCTGCTGCTGCTGCCGCCTGCATGCATGCATACGGTGGCTGTCTCGAGAATCAAAGCCACCACCAACCTGCGCACCTTAGTTGTGTGTGGATGTGGTCGTAGACGAGCTTTAATGGCTTCATATTAAACAAGGGCGTCCTTCAAGGTAGGGATGGTACCCGGTGATGGGACATAATAATTCTCGAAAAATACATATACCCAATGGACGAGCCTCTTGTCAATCATAATCTTACAAAAAATTATTTTCGTGACTCTAATTTTGACCCTCGATATCGGAAAGTAGTAATCTTACAATATATATTATCAATATCCACATTCAAATAATGTACCTCATGTTTTGAAGATATTCTCATTACATTTGTTAAAAATAATATATATTTTAAATTAAATTTTAAAATAATAACTAATCTAATATGCCAATCTATCACAAATCATAATATTATTTAAATCACTAATGATTTGAAGAATATAAATAGAAAATAGATAATTTATCAAAAAATCTCCAATAATAGATTTTTACCGTATGGTGCTCCATATTTGATTTTTACCGAGGGGCACACCTTTTTTCAAAGGTCTTGTTCTTGAATTGAGTTGTTTTAAACTCAACTAATTCGCGGATTGGTTTATTTTCAGATTAGATTAATTCGGGTCAAATTCATTCAAATTGAGTTGGATAGGTTTAGATCCCTTACATTCAATTTATAGTTATGTTACAATCGAGTTATACTTATTCACATAATATATTAAAATATATTAATTTTATATAATTTTATTCTAAATTAATTATAAAAATTAAGAAATAAATAAAAATTTTGTTAGAATCAAATTATAGTAGAATTCTCAAAGTCTTAATAACTAATTATCCTTAAAAATATATTTAAAAATATTAATATTAAAAATAATTAGGTAATCGAATTTAACTTATTTCAATTTCGAGTGTAACTACATCAATATAGGAAATAGAAAAAAGGGAAACGTAGGATTTTATGATTAGTTTTATGATAATTTTGAAATAATTTTATATAAAAATAATATATTTTTAACATAGTCTGTGAATGAGTGTAATAATTTTTTTGATAATTAAGATAATTTTATATAAAATAATAATATTTTTTAAGACAACTTAAGTTTTTTAGTTTTATGATGAATTTAGAATAATTTTATATAGGAACTTATATATGTTAGATATGTTATGTAAATGAGTATAACTCGAGTGTTACTTGAGTATAATAGTTTTTCTATATAATTTAAGATATTTTTTTAATGTAATTTAAGATATTTTTATGTAAAAATTAATATATTTTTAGATAACTTTCTTTTCTAAGTTTTATAAAAAAAATTAAGATATTTTTATATAAAATAATATATATTTTAATATATTATGTGAATAAGTGTAATTCGAGTGTAATGATTTGTAAACTATGAAGAGGAGGAGATACATTAAGAGGGAAGGGAGGGTGTAGTGGATGTGGAGTAGAAGGAAAAGAAAAGGAATATGAGGAGGAGTGATGAGGGAGATGGATACGGGAGAGGGGAAGGGGGTGACACAATACAAAGGTGGAAGAAGAGAAAGCTAAGAGGGAGGGAGCAATGGATACGGAAAGAAAGAAAAAAAAATGATGAGGATGAGGAGCGGCGGAGGTGGATAAGGGAGAGCGGGAGGGAGTGAGACAAGACAAAGGTAGAAGAAGAGGAAACTAAAGAGGAGGGGAGGGAGGGGTCAATGGATGTGAAATGGAAAGAAAAAGAGGATGAGGAGCGGTGAGGGAGGTGGATAAGGGAGAGGGAGAGGGAGTGAGACAAGATAGAGGTAGAGGAGGAGGAAGCTAAGGGGGAGGGGGAGGATGATTAGGAGGAGGGGTGAGGGAGGTTGATGAGGGAGAGGGGGAAGAGTAGGAGAAGGCGGATGTGAAGAAGGAAGCCAATAGAGAGAGAGAGAGGTGATGCGGAATGGGAGGAGGAGGCGATGGTAGAATGAGAGGAAGAGGAGGAGGTGGAGTCAAAGGTGGAATGATAGGAGAATAAGGAGGGGGAAGAGGAGGAAGGTGGGAGGAGTTGAGATGGAAGTGATGGTAATTTGAGAAAATAAAAGGATAATATAATGTTTAATTAAATCAAATTGAATCGTTAAAGTTAGTCTGATCCAACTCATCTTAAAAAAAAATTCAATTTAATCCTAAAAATCGAGTTGAACATAATAATAAAAATAATTATTATCTTTTAATAATTTCATTAAGGATATATTGATCGAAGTATAAAAAAAAAATCTCTTGATAAAATCAAATATGAGAGCATCATCTATATAATAGATGATAATAGGATAATTTTTGAGTTGTCCATAGGTAATAGGATAATTTTCATTGCACATCTAATAACATTTATATAATATATATATTTTAAATGAGCCTCCTATATATATATATATATATATATATATATATATATATATATATATTAATATTAAAAATAATTGATCCCTAGTGGTGGCTGGCAAATCTCTGCAAGGAAATAAAACCAATCCCGAGTTCATGTCTTGGCTGTGCCAGCACAAGACTGATGAACAACACTGACTGTGGGCATTTTTTATGATCAAATGGTGAACAAAGGCATCATATATATCATAGGTGTGTGTAATGGGAGTAGTGGCCAACTTGAATGAGCCAATGGGCCAGAGGGAGCATGGAGTGTTCTCTCGAGAAAGAAGTCGTCAGCTGGGTGACATCGCAACACACAGCACAAGCTTCCTGTTCCAGGACCGCACTTGCCTCGTGCTGCTGACGGACTGTGCATTCCTTTGCATAAAGAATGACCCACCACAGCTCTCTCTTTCTCTCTCTCTCTCTCTCTCTTACCCACCTTTACACTTCTGCGTCGCAAATCTGTAATTGGCATGCAGACGTCTGGTTTATCCATCATCGAATATGGGTCTTGGATATATGATGGTCGTAGGTTGAGATCCATCAGTGTTGTAGTTCGACAGCTATTGAGTTCGTATGCAGTTTCTTACATTCCAGTTCCAGCATTTCTTCAAATTTGCTCTTATGAAACTAATGACATAATTTGGACTTTTACGAACAACAATGTTCCAAGAGCTGTAGGAGTGTTTCTCACTCCTACATAAGAGTCAGAAAGAAAGAAAGAGACTCTCTCTCTTTCTCTCACAGACTGCACACACAGAATCTCCAAAATAGAGCAACGGTGATCATTTGATTGGCTGGTTGTTCTTTTCTTGAAAGGAAGAAAGAAAAGATAAGGAACAGCGGAAGTCATGAACCGGAGGGGAATCCAACAAGTTAGTACTTCTTTCTATGATTGGCTCTTTTTCCACGGAATCTCCCTTTAAGCACATGCAATTCTTGATCGGATAGACTCTCTTTGTTATGTTGACTGCCACCAAACAATCATCCTCAGTTCCATGAAGCCAATAAGATATCTCTCTCCCTCTCTCTCCAGTCTGATCTTTAGTTTTCTAGGTTGAGGTAATGGAGAAAGGAAGTCGAAGAGGCAAGAGGCCTTGTGCAGCCACACCACCCATGCCGTCTCCTACAGTTGAAGCAGATGGCGAGGAGAAGTTCTACGCTTTGCTTGGAAGCATTTCAGCCATGAGAGACCTCATCAGAGCAAACAAAAGCAAGCGGCAGAAGACGGTGGCGTCGCTGCCGCTCTGGCGACCCACCTTCGAGTTGGAGGACTTCAAGGAGGAGGATAAGGAACCCGGTACGGTGGCGGGGAGAGGAAGAACGGACGAGGAGGAGGAGAAGAATGAGGTGGGAGAAGGCGAAAAATCTGTGGATCTCTGTCTCTCTCTTTAGTGCTTGAACTCAACATCAATTGTATATCCACAGTATTATTACACTTGGAAACTTGCATGCATGGCACCACTGTGAACTCTTCTCACCTTCTTTCGGCTTGTTCAGCTGAGCCTTCTGAGCAGAGAACGAAATGACCCTTATCTGAAGAAATGTGTTGATTGGACTTTTTGATGGGATGTGATACAGTGAATGCCTCTTCTGCAGCATGTTTGATATGTAACCTCTGTTTGCTCGAACAGATCTAAGCCAGCTTGTTAATCTTTTCTATGCTGCTTGAACAATATATTTTAATGTGATTAACTAGAATTCCAGAACAACATGAATTGAAACTTGTGGTGTTCTTATTGACCGATTTAATGTGAGAAGCTTAAGATCAAACTATCAGAAATGGTTAGACTACAACAAGTATGGTGCAACATTTGTGTTTGTGTTCACTGACCCAGTTTGTCTCCATAATTGCCATTCTTCTTGGAACTATCTGCTGCTGGTGCACTCTTTGCCTGCTTTACTACATTAAGTTGCTTCATTCAATCAGCATCATCATCTTAGTACTGACATGGCTCTTGAAGGCCTTTAAGACCATGGATGAGAGCATCTGTTGTTCTTATTCCCATCTTGATGTTCCTAATTGGACTTGTTGCTTTGCTCTGCACTCTTTCCTACATTCTCTGAGACTCTGACCTTCTGATGCTTTGCATCTGTGTTGACGGTGTGCATTCCTTATTAACGAGGCAGAGGAGTGAGAACACTTCAACATGCTGTTTTCTGCTGCTTTTTAATGATGCAGAATGAACATATCCACCAAGGGGAAGTCACATTTCTCTACCAAGACATGACAGAAAGCGTCATTGCAAATGGTTCCATGGAAGAAAAGAAGAACAGTATTCCTCTGGTGATCAACGACTCCATGCAGTGTTCTCTTCATGGTAAATCTTGATGGGCAAGGTGAGGAGACGACCTCAGGGGGTAAATGTACCTTCACATCCATGTAACTATCATAAACCCATGAATACGACAAACAAGGCTAGCAACGTTGCTTTGACACCCTCGCTTTCCGATCCGACCCGATCCGATAATATATACACCTATATAAAGTGCGATCACTTTTCCTCGACCCGAGGAAGGAGGGTTATCGGTCGATGGGGTCGGGGATGAGGACGTCGGTGACGGATCTGACGGCCGCGGCGACGGCGCTGCTGCTATTGCTGTGCTTCGGGGTCGACGGAGTCGTCTCGGACGCCTCCGACCATCGCTACAAGACAGGCGATCACGTCCCCCTTTACGTCAACAAGGTTGGCCCTTTCCATAATCCCAGGTGCGGCCTCCTTCCTGCTCTCCTCTCAGATCTCTCCTCGTTCTTCTCCGAACCGTTTGATTTGTGGGATCGTATGCGATTTTAGGTAATTAAGGTGGCATTAAGTGGTAACTGGGTGTTATTAAGTGGTGATTAGGTTCTCGTTAGGTCAGATCCGCCGAAGCCTGCAAGTTGATGAACCTTTTATTTTAGCCACTTGATTTGGGATTTATTTCTTTTGATAATGTGATTAAATATCTGAATTGTTTATTTTAAATCCACATAAAAAATTAAGTTTTTTGGGGGTAATTTTAGATCTGAAAGAACGGAAGCTCACAATTTCTTTAACCTTGGAATATATTTAGTTATTTTTATTGAGAAACTTTATGCTTGCACTAATTTGTTCTTACCCATTTCACTTGTTTATTTCTGTACAGCGAGACATATCGCTACTTTGATCTTCCATTTTGTACCCCAGGTTTGTCTCTGATTTATAGTATGTCTCACCATCAGTCCCATGCCCTTCTAAATAGGTCATTCATGATTCATGATGTTTGTTGTTTACAGAGCATGTGACCGAGAAAAGAGAAGCACTCGGTGAAGTTCTTAATGGGGACCGGCTGGTGGATGCCCCATACAAGCTTGATTTCCGAGTAGACCATGAGTCTGAAGTGCTTTGCAAGAAGAGGCTCACAAGAGAAGAGGTGTCCAAGTTCAGGAGTGCAGTCACCAAGGACTACTACTTTCAGATGTACTATGATGATCTCCCTCTGTGGGGATTCATTGGGAAGGTTGACAAGGAGGGCAAGGACCTTGGCGAGTACAAATACTACCTGTACAAGCGCTTCCACTTTGATGTCCTTTACAACAATGACCGTGTGATTGAGATTGTTGTCCACACTGATCCCAATATGCTGCTAGATGTCACGGAGGACAGGGATATCGAAGCAGAGTTTTTATATTCTGTGAAGTGGAAGGAGACTGCCACACCATTCGAGAAGAGAATGGAGAAGTACTCTCAAACTTCTTCACTACCTCATCACTTGGAGATCCACTGGTTCTCCATTATAAATTCATGTGTGACAGTTCTACTCTTGACCGGATTTCTTGCCACAATTCTCATGCGTGTACTGAAGAATGATTTCGTCAAGTAAGGAATCTTCCACTTTTCAGGCTCTTGGATTTTATGCTTTATTTTATTGCACAAATATATACTTACTGGTCGAAAATAAAGGATTAACAAGCAGAGATAGCAAAGGAATTCAATTAATATTGATATATGCTTGAGCAAACTAACTTAATTGACCTTTATGATAACTTATTTCATTATAGTTTTGGTTATGAACTCTTTAATGCCAAAATTTCTTGTCATCTCTGTTCATTTACTTCAAGGAAATGACTTATTGAATTCTTTAGAAGACAAGATGTTCATGCCAAGTAACAGAGGATAGGATATCATGGAATGAATAATTTGTAAAGTTATGCTACAACTATTTTTGCTGACAGAAGTAGTTGACATTTGAATCATTGGTAGCTAGATCAGAATCTGTATAGATTTCACCCCATTGCGAAAAACTCGAAATAAGCTGGATTGGATTCTTAGGATCAGTATTGACCAAAAATTTATTTAAAAAATCAAAATTATAAAATAAAAATGAAAAGAGAATGATAGAAGTTAAGGAGTATTTATGATTGAGTTCATTATTGTAATCTGATTAAAAATGTATAATTTTAAATTAAGCTTATATTCAATAATATTCAAAAAAATTATAAATCAAAATTAACACACACACACACACACACACACACACACACATATAACTGCTTAATACATACATATAAGTTCTAGTTTAAATTTAAGTTACAATTTCAACTGCTTAATATACAAATTAAAGTTCAAATAAGAAAAAAAACATATGCATTAAACTGTTTGATAGAATAGCCCTCAGCCTGATCTGGCCAGATATTGTTTGTGCAGATCATGTTTTATCATTTAGTCAGCTGCTTTTATGAATGTTAGATTTCAAATTTCTTATAATCTGGTACTTGTTCTGCATGTTGTTGCAAATTCTATCCTTAGCGAGAAGTGCTTATGGTAATGTCATTTTTTTTCTGACCATTACTGTGAAGTAAAACCAGTAGCACGATTTTTTTTTTATGATTAGCATCTGCAACTATCTTCTGAAAGAAATGTCCATTATTCATCAATTGTGACAATGTTGTAAGCCATTGGCACAAGTGGCAGCCTGCTTTCTTTTTTATCTCATTTAATGTCGGTAGTGTTTTTAAAAGCGTTAGTCACCTTAAAGGTGCTAAGGTCCTAAAACGCCTGAGGCGCTAGGTGCTTGCCTAGACGCCCGCTAGAGCGATGCGAGGTACTCCAAAATATTATAATTGTAAATAAATATATTACGATTGATAAATATGATCATAAAATTAAAAATGCCACATCAAAATGATATTATATAAAGTGCCAAATTACCTCGGGTAGTGTTTTGATATCAATGTGATATATGCTAAATAGGTTTCTACTGATGGAGACGTATGCTAAATAGGTTTCTAAACAGTGCTAAATAGTTTTAAAGAGTGGAATAATTCTAAAGAGGGAACTGTAAAAGGAGTAATCAACGGCTATAGAGGAAGGTTGGGGAAGGAGAGGGCAACCGAGGAAGTTGTGGATGAAACTGCGAACTAATGCGGCGGTGGCGACGAAGGAAGCTGCAGATGAAGGCGACAGTGGCAAACGTAGGGTTTCACTTCAAAGACAAATTGCATCGGAAATAGAGTCAGTAGTAGCTACAAAGAATAATAAACAACAACAAATGTAAAAGACTACAAAAGCGTAAGCAGCAATAAGTGCTAATAACAAAATTAAGACTATATGCACGAACGTAGCTAAATCCCTAAGCTAAACGGACTCTAAACCCTAAACCCTTGGATCCACAAAAAAACTTGCAAAACAAAGGTAGTATTTATAATTTGTTCAATCGAGCAATGAAACATGGAAGAACAAAAACTTGTTATCAAAACGAAGAATTTCTGTGATATATGTTCCTTGGAACCCTTTTCTATAGACAATTTTTTTCTCTGTCTTTATTTTTTTCTCTACTATTGTTAATGTGGTTCTGAAGAACCTATCTAACCCGAAGATAAACAACTTTTTCTATTTTGACTTTTTTCTCGAATTACTGCTCGATCTACTCAATTTTCACACATATTAGGGCCAACAAACTTATGTAGTGTTTTAGGGTAAGGAACAAATTAGAATGAGCATCTAAAAACGAGTAGTTATATTTTTCAGAATAAAAGGATTTGTACAAACTTATCTATTAAACAACATAGGAAATATTTTACAAAAGATATGACTTCAAATAAAACATATAGGGTTTTGGTCTGATTTTTCAGACGACTGTTGATAGATTCATAGGACTCTAGAAGCACACGAGAACTTACAACCCTAGAGGCACTGACCCTCACTACCTTTCTTACAAATGAGAGGGTTATTTATAAGCGATTTAAGTCAGTATAAACAGTGTTTTGTTGATATCTCCTTACGCCATGGTTGGTGTCTTTTGGTTGTTTTATGTCACTGTTATGTTTTGTCGTCATTGTTGATGTTGGGCGAAACTCTTATCTGCTGAGGTGAGGTGACGGACCAGACACATGGTCTGTTACTTGTCTTATAGCATATTATCATTCACTAATTACTATTTGTTGATCAAGTAACTACTGAGCTAAAATTTAAAATTCTTCATGGATCTGATCTCCATATTGGGTTTTCATTTCTTCTATTATGATTTCTTCTTCTTCCAAGAGATTATCATTTATTTTAATTGTTGAAGTTCTTCATTTTTTAATTGTTGAGGATCTTTCACATAGATTTGCATATGATTATATTCTCTAAGAGGTTGAACCATTTCTGGCCATGGTTCATTCAAAATATATTATCATAGTTAATCCATTTTCTGCTCAGTTTCAAGCATGAGCTATTGATAAAGCTCCTTGGATTTAGGAATGTGCTGTATGAAGGTTGAATATGAGTCAAAGTATATCTAGTACCATGCCCCTTGTCCAATAAGCCTTGTTCCAGTCTACCATCGGATATACTTAATTTTGTGCAGGCACAATGTCTTTTTGTAGGTTTTGCAATCGATTTGATGGGATAAAATGTTGATGTGTAGTAATTTATTGCTACAACAAAAAATTGTGAGTATCCTGGAATCATTTGTTATTATTTTGTCCATTTTGCTAGACACGATTCAATATTTAGATGTATAAAGTTATGTTTTTTCAATGTTCATAGAATAGTTGCTTTAAGCTTGTAGGAGATATCTTCTGTGTTAGAAATGAGAACAACAAAAATCGATTTCTTCAACTAGTCCTCTTTTGAGGAAATAAGAGAGACTTTATTTTTTTTTAATCGAGTGCCATATGAGTATCTGTCATTCCGAGTATGATCTTTGGTGTTTTTACCCCAAAATATTCTTCTATGATCATATTATCATACATGGGATTGACATAATGCCTTTCATAATATTTTTTACAATTTTGAGGATGGATTGCTACGAATCCCCTTAGGTGGTATATTAGTAACATTTTCTATTAGGAAAAAGAGTTCATGAAGCTCCCTTTGAATTTCTAAGACCAACTAGGCAGAAATAGAGTCAGTGGCACCTACAGAGAATAATAAACAACAACAAAGGTAGTAAAGAAAGACTATAAAAACGTAAGCAACGATAAGGGCTAATAACATAATTAAGGCTATATTCATGAACGCTGCTAAATCCCTAAGCTAAAAGGACTCTAAACCCTAAACCATTGGATCGTCAAAAAATCTGCAAAACAAAGGTAGTATTTATAACTGGTTCAATCGAGCAAGTTTGTTTTGTAGGTTTTTCTAATAAAAGTTGTTCCTAATATTACCACTAGAGGGTAGAACCTTTTAAAGTAACAATCCATCCTCAAAATTATAATGAATATCACATAAGGCATTATGTCAATCCCATGTCTGATGATATAATCATAGTAGAATACTTTGGGGTAAAAAAAGCTAAAGATTAGATAGTCAGAATGACATACATCCATATGACACCCAATCAGAAAAAGAAGTCTCTCCTATTTCGTAGAAAAATAACTAGTTGGAGAAATTGATTTTTGCTATTCCTATCTCTGTAATTTGCACGCAAAAGATATTCCCTACAGGGTTAAAGCAAATATTTTGCAAACATTGAAAAAACGTTACTTTATACATTTGAATATTAAATCACGTCTAATATTAAAACATTACTTAAAGAAGGAAGAAATTTCTTCAGAAATGAAAAATAAGGATTAGGGCTAGGAGTATGTAGATAATTTGTATATCATGAACCTTATTAATTTGGATGTCAAAAACCTTCACCAACAAGAAGGAAAACCAATACAGATTATAAAAATTATAAACTAAAACCAGTAGGAAAAAAAATTTAAGAAAAAATATTACAGAAGGTCATACACAAAAAAGTATAAAAAACCCGAAAGACACCAATATAGGAGGAAATATGAGAAGAAATGCAAATGCTACTTATGTGGAGAAGAAGGCCATATAAAACCTAACTGTCCAAAATTAAAAACACGTCTAAAGTATATAGAATTAAAACAGTTACTTCTAGAAGAAGATAATAATTCTACTATATATGAAATAGAAGATCTAGAAGAAGTAAACCTTTTGGAAATAATAGACCCCAGAGATTATATAGAAATTGATAATTTAAAGTCGGTAAATAATGTAAACACAAAAAAATGTATATACATAACTTCAATATATAGATAGTACCTTAAAAAACTAGAATATCCAGGAAAAATTGTAACATTCGATAATACCCAATATGATCGAGTACTTGATATCAAATATACCGATAGAAATACAAAATACAACATTTTATTTACCAAGAACAGTAGTTGTAGAAATACCCAGAGCAGTACCTCTAATACTAGGGATAAACTTTATACATTCAAGAGGAGCTTTGTACATAAGCAAAGGAACTGTAACAATGTTTCCCAGAGCAACTAACATAATAGCCAGAATAGAGGAAAGAGGAGACTCTATAACAGACATTATAGAAGAAGCCAGAAGAGATGTAATAATTGGGATAAACCCAACAGACATTATAGGAGACTCTGTACCACATTTTATTTACCATGAACAGTAGTTGTAGAAATACCCAGAGCAGTACCTCAAATACTAGGGATAAACTTTATACATTCAATAGGAGCTTTGTAACAATGTTTCCCAGAGCAACTAACATAGTAGCCAGAATAGAGGAAAGAGGAGACTCTATAACAGACATTATAGAAGAAGCCAGAAGAGATGCAACGATTGGGATAAACCCAACAATCAATATATTCATGGTGATGTTTATTAGGTTTCTTCCTTGGGCTTCTGCTGTAGGTACACTCATGATGAGGAGTCTGCTGAGGACCAAGAAGAATCTGGGTGGAAATATATTCATGGTGATGTTTTCAGGTTTCCAAAGAACAAGTCACTGTTGGCTGCTTCTCTTGGTTCTGGCACACAATTATTTACTCTGTAAGTATATCTGATATAGTTTACTTTTACCAGTTAACTGTAAAAGCAGAACTGCAAGGGCCTACTTTTCTTCTGAGCAGTGCTTTTGGACAATTTATTGTTTGTTCTGATTCTTCATGACCTTTGGCATTCATGGCAGCACGGTTTTCATCTTTATTCTTGCACTTGTTGGCGTTTTCTACCCTTACAATCGTGGGGCCCTTTTTACTGCTCTTGTGATCATATATGCACTTACCTCGGGCATTGCTGGATATGCTGCTACCTCTTTCTATTGTCAACTCGAAGGAACAAACTGGGTGTGTCATTCTATCTTCATTACTCACTCTGTTCTTACTGCTTTATTTTCACATTCTGCATAACTTTATATTCCATGCATAAATCACTCTTACAGACATGCTCTTTGAAGAAACTTAAAAAGGTTGTTTACCATGTCAGATTATGAATGTCTTTGTACTTTATTGGCAGGTACGGAATTTGTTATTGACAGGATGCCTTTTCTGTGGGCCTCTGTTCCTGACATTCTGTTTTCTTAACACCGTCGCCATCGTGTATAGTGCTACTGCAGCATTACCCTTTGGTACTATCGTTGTTATTGTTCTCATTTGGACGCTCGTCACCTCTCCTCTACTTGTTTTGGGTGGAATCGCTGGTAAAAACAGCAAAGCAGACTTCCAAGCACCTTGTCGTACAGCAAAGTACCCTAGAGAGATACCACCATTGCCATGGTATCGACAAACTATTCCACAGATGATAATGGCCGGCTTTCTTCCTTTCAGTGCAATCTACATTGAGCTTTACTACATATTTGCAAGTGTGTGGGGCCACAGAATTTATACCATATACAGCATCCTATTCATCGTCTTCATTATCCTCCTCATCGTCACCGCTTTTATTACTGTGGCACTGACCTACTTTCAACTTGCTGCCGAAGACCATGAATGGTGGTGGAGGTAAGTCAGTTGTTATTGTATATATGCAAACCAACCACTAAAGACATTTGTTCACTACATATTCATACGCCAATATAATTGATTAAGCCCATAACTCATTAAAAAAAATATGTAGAAACATGAAAACATTTTTACACTAAGGCCATAATTTAGGTTATACAATATAAAAGCAAGAAAACATAATATATTAATATTTCATTTTTTTTCTGCTTTGATGTGTGACTTGTTGTTACATATACTGGTACACTATGGTTGATTTAAATCTTTAGATAAAATCAAAGATACTTTAGATTTTGTCATTACCTCTGATTCATTTTAAAGTGTACAGACCACATGGTAAAAGTATGCTATTGTTTCAGTTATATGCTAGTGAATTAGTTAAACAGTGTAAAGATGTTGCATGTTCCACTATATGTTTCTCTTACTATAGTTGAATTAATGCTATAGTTGAATTAGTTAAAAGTGTACAGACCGTATTTGTTTTTTTTTTTTTTTGGGTCCCTAACCCTATTTGCCGACCTTAGATGGTGATATGTGGCTGTTCTTCCCATTGCGGATATCTGAATTGCCATTCTGCTTATGCCGATGCAGGTCTTTCCTATGTGGAGGATCAACTGGCTTATTTGTGTATGGATACTGTCTGTACTACTACCATGCTCGCTCGGACATGTCGGGGTTTATGCAGACGTCTTTCTTCTTTGGCTACATGGCTTGCATCTGTTACGGCTTCTTCTTGATGCTCGGGATGGTTGGCTTCCGTGCTGCTTTGCTGTTTGTGCGTCACATTTACCGATCTATCAAGTGCGAGTAGCAAGTTGAAGTTGTTGCCTGACTTGGAGCAGCAGCACATTTTGAACACAGAATAGAATCACTGGTTTCTGAAGTAGATGCTTAATAGCCTGTGAAATATCTATAATCCAATAGTCCTCGTCTACTTTTATGATCTTCTTCCACTTGAAGTCCTTGATACTGTTTTGAAAGGTGTATCAAATATGCATTCGTGCAATTTGTGAAACTGATTTATCTCTATTGAAAAATAGTAATCTCATTATGTATCCCCGTAATTCCACGTGTATACCAGGGGGCAATGTGTAAACCGGTGGATGACGATGCTGCAATTTCAACAAAATAATAATAATAATAATGCATGATTCATCAATATGGGCACAAAACACAAGCTTGTGGTACACGTTGTTGGCATATATTATTATTTTAGTATGTCATAGGTCATGGACTTGATTACATATTATTCGACTGGTTAAAAAAAAATCAGTTGCCATGTGCAGAAATAGAGAAGGGTACATAATAGTAAAATCGATTCTTTCTAACTTTTATTTTAGCAAGCGACCATTTCATGGCAACCATCTGCTTTCTTCTGCTACAAAACAGTTTGCCAATGTTTCGGAAACGAGGCTGTTCAAGTGACATTGATAACCATTTGAACTAACAAAAATAAGAATAATGAGTCGAGGATAATGATACTGATAATCGGTGGCTACACAGCTAGTCCTCGTTAACTTTGAAGAAGGTGTAGGAAAGGATAATGTTGTTGATGCCATCCATCTTGGGATCGGTCTCGAACTCTGGATCAATGTAGAAAAAGACCTGCAGATGTTTCCCCAAGATTGCTCATAACGATGGTAACTGAGTATCTTCAGCGGCGTTAGTGTTGCGCTTCTTACCGGCATGTCGATTTGCTCCCCTGGAAGAAGTCGCTGCTCTTCGAAACAGAAACATTGAATCTTGTTGAAATAAACTGCAGCCTGCAACAGAGCAACCCAAACAGCATTACTTGTCCAAACTTTTTAGAGGTTACCTACTTGCATGTAGAAATCCTAAGCAACATCAGGTGGTGCTCCCTTGATGCATGCTTCTGTTCTATTTACTAATTCTTGCATTTCTTTATTGTATCCGTAGCTGATATAACAACAAGCTACAGTTTTCATCTCAATTTGAATGCGCTAGGTTACTCTCATGCGTCTTCTGTAGCATCAGGACAGAATTATAGGTCCTTGAGAATAACAATCGTTGCAACCAATGCAGGCCTCACTAGAGGTTGATATCCCAACCAAAACATCAGCAATCTTTATGTGTTTCTATTAATCACGCCATGGAGGGACAGTAGAAAATCTAGTAGACTTAACAAAGCAATCAAGAAGGTTGTAAGCAACCATGCTTGCATTTGAGACGTATCTTCTAATATGAATAGTTTCAGTTGAGTTAACCCTCATATAACAAAATACATATCGTGCATCATGGACAGATACAGAAATAACCCAAGAAACTAAGTGCTGCTTTGAAAATAAACATATTGTCATATGCAATCAAATTTTGGTAGCAGGAAAAAGATAAAATTTATAACTGAAACTTCTTGTTTGAGATACTTCAGAAAATATCAACAAGAAATTGCAACAGCATACAGGCCCATGAGGCACAGTATTTAAAGTTACGAGTGTCCTGCCATCACAACCTTCTACTGTTATAGGAACAGTAAGCAAATTATTCCAAATTCATCAGAGCTATATTATATTGATGAAATGTAAGATTTAAAAAATAGCTTGAGAAATGAACTATAACTTTGGGCTCCATACCTTCATTGGGGTAACATTGTATGTAGAAACACCAGTTATGGGAGTCGAGCTACGATTTTCAGCAGTATAAAATGCAAGGGCGCTTTCCCCTAGCTTAACCCTTACCTAAGGAAACAGAAAGCAACAGAAGGAAATATATGCCTGCGATAAGACTTGTTTTCATATTACAGTCAATGATAGGAAGTAACCTCTCACCTCTCTTTGTGTAGGAGTAAATTTCCATGGCATCCCATCAGCAACATCAGCATTGAACTGAACAACAAGCTCCCTGTAGAAAGAAAGGTCAAACCTAGTTCAGATATATGTCAGAGACTTACACTGAAGTTCACTAAATGTGCCGAGAAACATTTGATTTTGTGGAGTAAAAGAATGTGCAACCAGAATTAATTGATACTTGTTACTATGACACAATGGAATGTTAAGATAAAGTTGCAACTTCTTTAGCAAACTAGAGACATGACATGCTACCACATTATTCCTCTAGTTATACAGCAATGAGTAAAACCACCATTGTGAAGAACTACCACCATCTTCACCTAATCTATCAACCCTTTTAGTCTCTTATCTTTGATGTAGGTTCTATTCTATTTCTGCTTGAAAGGTCAATTAAAGATAAAATTATGACAACAATAACCCGAGTAGGGCCACATGGATCTTTTCTTACACTGAAGGTCATAAATAGTTAAGATCCATGCACATGAAATCTAATAAAAGTTTGCATTGCACATCATTGGTCTAATGCAATTTTATACCTATCTCATCTGAGCTTAGAACTGCCATTGGTACTGTTAAAAACACAACTAATAGATAATTCTTAATCAAAAATAAATGTTGACTAATTAGAGGTTAGTAATCATTCTTGTGAAGTGTCTTCAATCAAAATGTAATTCCACCATTTCTAGGAATTTTAAATAAGCTAACCTTCTAGAAAAAAAAAATTTCTTTTTCACATCATAATAAATGTGGGCAACATAAAATATTTCGTCTCCACCAACCACTTGAATTTTTTTTTTTTTGTATTTCTGATCTTTATCATTTGCTTTCCCTAGACAAGAACTCATTTCAAGTTCCTTAATGGTTAAATAGTTTTTATTCTTCAAGATTTCTGTGACTTCTATCTCGGACTCACCAAATCATAATAGTTTCACCAAAGCATAACTAGAGTCTTAACAGCCAACATAAATAATAATTCTTGAGGGCAAAGGCTTGTACTAGACTTGATTCAAGCTAGAAATCTAGTGACCTAAACAAAGCACCTTTTTGTTGCCTGTAATGGTTCATGCATAGTTCCTTTTTCTTCAAAAAAAAAAACAAATTTAAGGTATAATTTCAGTTCATAGTTCAATGGCCATGAAATCATCAGCATTAACAAGAAAACCCAATGGAGTTTCACCATCACCATGAAGAGAAAGGGAAAATTCCACAACAAAACTTGAAACACAAAGCTCATAAATTCCTAAAACTGGAAATGTGTACATAGTCTCCACCAAACACAACACAGAAAGGCTGAGACCAAAAACACACAAGGGGGTAACAGCAAAAAATTGGATGTGACGCGGAGGACGCAAAGGCAATACCTGGAAGTCTTGGTCCCTTCTTGGGCATGGCGGGCGATCTTCTCTTCCACACTCTGCAGAGACTCATTCCTTGTCACAAGCCATGAACGATTCATTATTCCCGAAAGCATTTTAAACTCAGAACACAAACAAAACAGATCGTGCGGCTACATCCAAGGAATATCGAACAGTCTTAATACCCTAATAAAACCCAACGAAAGCCCGGGATTTAACGATTGGAGAAGAGGGCGAAATAAACTTACCTCCCGGCGCTGCACTGTGCCACCATATCCGGTGGCCTGGCAGAAGCGGCGATAGAGGGGAACGGCGGCGTAGGAGGCTCCGACCATGGCGGCGACCAACCCGAGGAGGTACACGAGGGTGTTACGCGAGCTTCTGTCCTTGGACGCTGTTGATGAGGCGGAGGCGCCGCTAGAAGCGCTGAAGGCGGCGGCGGTGGCGTGGGGGATCAAGAGCCGATCGGGACGAGGAGAGAATCGGGGCGGGGAAAAGTTTCGGAGGAGGGCGACGGAGTGGGGGGCGAGAGGGCCGGCGCCGCGGAGGAGAAGAGAGAAGGTACCGGTGTGTCTTAGGAAAGGCCGCATCTGGAAGAGGAGGAGATGAGACGTTCGGAGGAGCGCCGTTTCTTTGGCTCGTGGGTCTTCGTCGGGGCAGTAACGAAACAATCAATTGAACCCGGTTCTAATTATCCGTGGCAAGTGCACACTTCTTATATACCCAATAAGCTTGTGAGCAATAATATCACAAGCAGTTCCCTATCGTGACATAATGTCAACCAAATAAAATATTATGCATCTTTTTACTACTTTAAATGAATAAAACAATAAAAAAAATTTTATTTTGAATAACTAAAAAAACTGAAGATTATTCGATCAAGATTATAAATAATAATAATTATTATTAGATTTATTTTTAGCCCAATGCCTAACAATTATATATCCCGTAACTGATTCAGTTAAATAGTCAGTCAGGTAAGGAAACTAAAAATCTAAGTATTGAATAAATAGAACATAGTTAAGCAAATAACACTGAAACAGGACATTTTGGTAAGAAACATATCGTGAGGAAAGGCATCCACGATAAGTTTCGACTAGTCTTTCAATGAATTCAGTCATCACATCTGCTGCGCTTTAACTCTTTTAGGCACTAGACAAGACATATATCCCAATGTGGATGCAGAAAAGAAAACAATCAACAGCATTATAAGCATCAAGCAAATATCAACCTCACACAAAATATGCATTCGATTAAGTACACAATTATCAGCACTTTGGACATCCAAATCAACTCCTTACATACCAGATAACAAGTGTCTTACTAAGCATCTACAGAACAACAAACACAATCATAAACGAAGAAACAATCATCAGAATATAGCATATGCATGCTCAGGATTCACATATAAGTCAGCATATCACGATCAGCTTCCCTTACGCAATTATCACTTCAACATCGATTGCATAATTCAAACAGTAAAAACAGAATCAATAATCCAAAGCAAACTAGAACATGTAATAAATAATCCAACAATAAATTCAGAGCAAAACAAACACTCTCCGATGAACATCATCGAATATCTAATTCAAGGGAAAAACTCTACAATGAACGCCTGATCTGAAGGCATCCAGTTAGAATCAAGAACCAAAGATTTAGCCACTACAAACTCCCGGGCGTTGATCAAACATCAAGCATTGCAAGATATAGCAGATCCATACTGCCAGCAAACCAAGATATATATGTATCGGGCGTCCGCATGCGATGATCGGTTTTTCCCAATGTCACGCATGCAGATTAATCACGATCATCACATCCATCGATTCAAACAAGAAATTCAGGCAACATAAGAGAACTGTCCACACAACACGAGTTCCAGCATCTGAGAAACCCCTACATCGATCACTTGGACAAGGGCATCCGCTCAAATTCAAGAACCAAGAATAGCGCCACTACAAAACCCCCATCGTCATTAAACTAAAACGATCACAAACGGGTTGATCAGAGGATACCAGTCGGATCATTGATTAGCTGCTTGCCCTGATACGCCATTTCGGGATGGAATTCAACATCGAACCCTCGATCGTCGGATCCGACTCCTCCTCCTACACCTCCTCGATCGAAGACCGTAGCATTCCCTAACTCGGTAAGAACAAGAGGGAGAGAGAGCGGAAGCCCAAAGTAACAGAGGATAGTGACGACGCTCGTGTCAAGCTTTCATCTCTCCGTTGATTCCGTTGATAGCACTCATCTATTTATAGAGGAGAGTTCGGAATCAGAGACCATTTTGTCGTATTATCAAATTACCTTAACGCCCCGTTGCTTCTCATGGTGGCCGTCGGATTAAGATGAACGGTCAAAAATAGCAGAAGCTCTCTGGCGTTTCAGCAAATGACACCAAAGCTATGTGTAAAGTTAGATCAGTGTTCGGTTCGAAGCAGGGAACGCCAAATGAAGGCACCTTGTCACCGTCCATTTCTCCATCACCTCGTGATCACCCGTTGATGCACAGTAAGACAATTGCCCGGGTCGTTTCTGCGCCAAGTTACGGACGAGAAAGCCTGCCATTTCTTGCCACCTGTCCAAGCACGTACATTTTGTTTTATAAGATGTTGCAATTCCTGTGTTAGATCGCCACGTGTACGCCAAGCTGCTCTAGCTTTTGGTGGAAATTGGATTGGGTCCTTCCTCTATGGCTCGTAAGAATGCAAATTGGGTTACCTTTGGGCTGGAATATATATTTTTTTAAATCCAAATATCCAACTTTTAACCAAGTTCGGTTATGTCATCGTGACAAAATATTTTTCTATATATATACACAATTTTGAGAAATATTCTTCCAATTATAGCTCTATATATAGCAGGAAGGTTTGTAAGACCCAATCGATAAATGGACAATATGGATACTAGTTCAAAATAATAGTCTGTGAGATGAAAAATATTCCATCCATATCGTAAAATATTCCTCCTTATTAACCCATTATAAAAATAATAATATTGAACAAGTGCTTAAATCTACCTCAATCTCTCGAACAAATGTTTGAGTCTCTTTTTCGACCATATTAGATTTACTATATACACAGTCTTAAATTGAGTCAAGTTAATCCATATATCATCAATGTCATCATTACCACTATTCAAATATCAAGATTCTTCATGTACATCAATGAAATTTTTTTTTGATTAATCGATTTAAATTTTAAAAATATAAATATTAAACTACAAGATATATAGATACATGTTGTATTATCATTATATATTAAAGTTTTAGATGATATTAATATATAAAATTGACTCTGAGGATATATTTTACTATATGTGAAGGAAAATTGAAGGTGCTGGTAAGCTCACTTGGTAGAAGATGTTCTGAGATAGAATCCTTCACCGTAACGTGTGCCTTAGTATATCGGATCAATTGGATCAAGATAATATAATACAAGATTTTAAGTGAGGGCAAACAACGAGGAGATAAATCACCATTCTTGACGTGGAATCAAATTTGCATTTAGATCGTAAGCAGTGCATTTAAATCATGAGCACCGAACTCGTAGGCCGAAAAAGAATTAATGTCAAGCAAGTGTTTACGCCTCGAGTCAACTGCACCGGCAGAATCCACGGAGGGTCGCGTTCTCTCAGATGTTCCTAAACTGTGTCTTTTGCACTGAAATCACGTTCATCAAGAAAAATGGTAATCTTAAGACTCGAGTCTCCTACGTTAACATATATTAAATCACCATCTCCCACTAATGCTTATCTAATGTGTGTCATGTGACAACATCTTCCAATCACGTGAGTTGCGGGAATCTGGCTGCTTCTCCCTGTTTATTCTTCCATCGTCCTTCTCTCACATTCCATCCTTCCAAGCTACACCATAGTTGTCCTCCCTTCTCTCTCATATTTAGTTATATGTCAATTAGATGTGACAGTTTGAACAATAAGAGACCCATATTTCATCTTTCTCATGTTCACTGTGTCTCGAAGGCATTTATTCCCTCTCTTTTCATGAGACAATGAGCAAGGAAAAGGCAAATGTGCTGTCTTTAGCTCTTCAACTTGCCATGATGTGACGAGTAAGTTCTTTTATTCTTCACGAGTGTCCTCTTTTATTTCTTGTATTTTACTCCAATTAATCAACTCATGTTTTGGGATGGGAAGTAAGTTTTTGTTGCTATGGTTTCATGAGGTCGAGGTGCAATCTGTCTCTTGAGTCATTTTCCTCATGGATGTATGAGCTCACATGTCATTTATTGAAAGCTGTGAACTGTAGGAATGCAGTCAAAGTATTGTCAGCAAGAGTGATTGTTAAGGGTATGTCCACAAGCTTGAGGGCCACTTAGCTATTTGGTAATATTAGTAGAACTTAGGGAGATGTGATTTGAATACATGCTCAGCTAATAATAGTCCATTGCACTCATCTGGTTGGCCATACACAATGCAAAGGAATCACGTGCTGCAGCATAAGAAGAGACTTCTGCCACCCCATGTCATTGAATTCAAAGCTAATAGACTTCTCATGCCCCATACATGCTCCCTATGCATAGGGTTGAGATGACAAAAAGGATGTAACAGTACTGTTGTTTAGCATTTCAATGCAGTGCACAAATTCTTTGGAAGTGAAGCACAGACCTCACTAAACTACAAGCATCTCTTTGTTCTTATATGACAAGTGGTTTTTGAAAGTACAGTTCGCTCATATACTTGAGGTGATTAGTCTGAAAGAAGCCATCAACAGCAACAACATCACATGTACTGTTTTAGCTTGGCCTTGATGCAACCTAGGGTTAGGGAAATCTACTCGAGAGTCAACCTTCATGTGGACATGAAAGGAATATTTGGGAGTATGACAAGGGAATTAGAGGTAGAAGGTTTGTGAAACTGAATGCTTCAACAGTCACTTGTCTTAATCAGGGCAGTGAGACCAAACAGCATCTTCTTTTGTCAACTAGGCAATAAAAATTAGGCACCTGACAACCCTAAATAATTTGCATTTAACATGCTTTTTTAATCATGGAGATATCGAGATCTCCTTGATCCGATGGAAGATTCGAAGGAGATGGAAAAGTCTTCTATCCAGCATTCTGTATTTAATTCAAACAGCTTCAAAGTATGTCTGCTACCTTCCGAGTCTTAATCTCTCTGACGTCGAAAATAGTGTTCTAAGTGAGGAGAAGGAAAGTTTGCACAAGCCAACATCGAGTAACATCAAAGCTGCAGTTTTCTTGCATGAAGAAATGATATACCCTACAAGAATATTTGGTGCAGTGACAAATGGAATGAAGGATCGGCGTGTTTAGATAAAGCTTGTGTCATAATGAACTCTTGGAATGGTTACATCACAGACAACTTTCATGTTGATTAAGCAACCTTTGAGAGATGCTGATTTGGGTGTCCTCAGATGTGAGTTGTTTCAAGCATCTTTTTCTCTGGTGCCTTCTTTTTCCCCAGCAGTACTAGCATGTTGATATCAATTATAATATAGAAACAAAGCGTAGGAGAAGTAGAGAGAGGGACTGAAGGACAGGCAAACTGGAAGAGGAAAGAAGCTCTTGCCCCTCCTTTCTTCTTTCTCCTTTCTCCTTTCTCCTGTACTCATTCTGTGTCTCTCTAGCTTTTCTTTATTCGTTTGATCTTATGGCACTTGCAATTTGCAATGAACGCCTGTAAGCTTGGTCAGAAAGCGAGGAGATAACTTCTGAGGTTAAGAAGCCTCAAATCCAAGCATTGTTTAAAGTTGTTTTGACCATATATTCCTCCCCTCTCTCTCTCTCTCTCTCTCTCTACTGTCATTGTCCCACATTTATATGCTCTAAGAAAGCAGAAGAGAGTCCATTTGCCTTTCAATTCCTCTTCCTTCCTTTTCCCTTGTCTATCTTCGCTATATCTACTCTCAAGACACACTGGTCTGTGTCTTTTGTGTCTTTAGATCACAACACAGAGATAGAAGAAGGAAAGAAACCCTTTGATTAATTGTCTACCAACTTTCTCAGCTTCAACCAGCTACAAACCATTCCAACTTTTAGCAGATACTCGAGCTGCGAGCGGCAAAGGAGATCGTAGGATGCCTTCGCAAGGGGTGTTCACTGATGCCATCGCCTCCACGGGCTCTCCTGACCTCTCTTTACACATCGGCCCGCCGAGCATCATAACAGCTGCAACCTCTGCCGTAGACGGCGGCTTCCGAGCTTGCGTCGACCTTCCCCTCTCGAGCATCATGTGTCCTTCCGAGGCTCAAGAGCCACTGCGTCCGGTTGACGATTCCTCCAGGACAGTAAATGGTACTCCGTTCTGTGTATATAGTCAATCACCCTTCAGCTCGTTCGATCCCAAGTCCGGATTCACCCACCAAGTGTCTTCCTCCTCGCCTTCTTCTTCTGCTAATGGTTGCTCAAACGATATATACTTGGTGAGCTCCCATTTGCATCCTCACAGTGGGGGACAGTACCCCTCAGTCTCATCGTATCATCGAACGGTGACGACGCTGCTACCGCCATGGATTACGGGATTAGGATCGGACCCATTGAGGTGCTACCACCACCTTCCTTGCGGCGTCGGATCTTTGGAGGCCTCACACAGCATGATGAGGACAAGGTTCATTCCGAGGTACCAGACGAAGCGGAGCACGCGGGCGCCAAGAATGCGGTGGACGAGCAGCCTCCATGCCCGCTTCGTGCACGCCGTCGACCTCCTCGGCGGCCATGAGAGTACGCCACCTCTTGCGTCCTTTCTCTACTATTCTGTGATCCAAATTACTGTGATCTCTTTATCAGAAGTTTCACCAGCCATTTATCTGTTTCTTGGAATGGTTTGGCGTCAGGAGCTACACCCAAGTCAATTCTGGAGCTCATGAATGTGAAAGATCTCACTCTAGCCCATGTCAAGAGCCACTTGCAGGTGATCTACACCGCTTAGCTGACGCCCTAATCCTTCTTCAGTTCTCTCTCTCTCTCTCTTTCTCTCTCTGTGCACAGTAGCCAATGGATCACTGATTGACTAAATGAATGTGAGAACGAGTAGTGGGTCTGTTGCTCCACAGACAAGAAGACTGAAAGGCACGGAGACAGAAGAAAAGTAGCCATCATTTCACAATAATAAGAAGATATAAAATAAGCGCTGTGAACTCAACAAAAGCATCAACCTCGTTTGCAATAAAATAAAGGGAGCAAAAGGAAAAGACGGAAGACTGAAGTGTCCACATTTGGATTTTAGCTGATCTCAACTCCATCGTTTCCTTTCTCTCTCTTTTTTGTAGTAACATCACTTCACTGCCATTTTTCACCTCTTTTTCTCTCTCCCTCACTCTCTCACTCTCCTTCCTCTTTAATGACCTTTGCTAACTTTTTTTTTTTCTTTCTTTTGTGTCCTTGCAGATGTATAGAACTATTAAATCCACTGACAAGACTGCAGCCTCCTCAGGTAATCTGTGTTGCTTTGCCTCCTGTGTCTATTTTGTCCACTAAACTTCAATTCGAAGAACAAACAAGTCATCTCCTAGTCATTAGTTCAAAGTTTTCTCCTTTCTCTTTTCTTGCGCAAGGTCAATCTGATGGCTCTGTCGAAGAAGGTTTGGCTCCCGGATACAGTGATCAACAATTATTGGAGCACAAAGGCTCAGTTGCACCAAAACAAGACTCTGACAGTAGATGGAGCAACTCATCTACGTAAGAACAACACATCCTCTCTCTCTCTCTCTCTCTCTCTCTCTCTCTCATACATACACACACACACAACACATAAAATTTCTTCATTGGTAGAGTACCTTTCTCTTAGCTCATGCCTTTATGCTTAAATAGAGTAGAACATTGACTCCACCTTCATTTACCATGGCAGCTTTTGCTTTTGTCTCTCCTTTTATGTTCTTTGAGATCTTATGCTGAGATTTAAAGCAAAAGACCAGCAAAAAGCAACGAGTTCACCTGTTAAAAAGTAGATCACAGGCCTTATTTTGCGAATGCCACCTTTTTCAGTGTTGTTTGAGAACATCGAGTTCTTTTCCTGTGATATATACAATCAGAAAGGTCATATCCTCTATTTGTGCATTATTCTATTGCTAAAGCATGTTTGGCTTTTGGGGATGTTGGCTTCCCCATTTGCTTACTGCACAAGTACAATTTTCCTTTTGGTTTACAAATATCTTTTCATCTTACTGGTTTTACTATTTTGGATGTTAGGATGCATTAGTGATCTAATGCCATTACATTGCAATGTCTTATGCACTTAATCCTATCTGATTAAGATGGTTAACTAGGGTTAGAGTAACTCTATAGCAGACACACAAATACATCAGACAGTCAACTTGATTCAGCAACCACAATTCAGTAGAGAAACTGACACTAAACAAGCACAGTTGCATTGTTACTTATGCTTCGACAAACAATACATTGTTACATAAACCAAATATTTCATCTTCAGACTTAGAAATTTTATCTTATTTTTCTCGATATCAACCTTAATCTTTTTTATAATCCATTTATGATTTTCTTTTGCATAAAAAAACATCAATAGAGGAGTCTGGACGCAGATTAGTACGACCGACACCGCCGAGCATGGATCGATCTCTCTCTCAAATCAAATTCAGGTACTACTTTGATGCAACTTCCGTTTCTAAGATCACATGAACTCATATCACATGTGAGAGAGAGTAGGAGGATTATGTACCATGAGGAGTTTATTTGGACTTTAAACAGGACACTTATGGAAGATCAAATGGCACAAGTGGTTCTTATCAAGATCTAAAGAACCCTCTCTTGGAGTTCACCTTGGGAAGACCAGACTGGCACACCAAGTAGCATTGACTGGCATTGTAAAAGTCATTACCAGTAGCTTTGTCGAGTTCTTCAAGGCCTGTCTCTGAGGAGGAAGTGTTCCAATGAACAATGAGAAGTTTGCCAAGTTGCTCGTGCTGAGTATTTGTTTTCATTCTTCTTTCGTCATCTTCTCTGTGTCCTTTGTAAATTGTGGTTGATTTAAGTGGATCACTGGAACTTGATTTTGCCGGTTTAGGGATCATTATATCAACATTATCAAGTACATATCGTAGCTTAATAATATCACATAGAAATTACAATGTCATATTATGAATCAGATTTCATAAAAAAAACTAAAAATTATCTTCAAGAAGTAAAATATAAAAGAGACAGCTCAATATTTTCTTGACTTTTGTGTTCATTACAATAAAGTTGTTTCTAAAAGAGAAAATATTTTTTCTCCTAAAATGCTCTTGCTTACTATTGGATATTGTTTCAATGCATCTTGCTGTTATTTTAATACTGTATTATAACAGTGATACATCATTATTTTGATATATCATATTGTGTTATAGGCTTATTATTTTCTTGGATTAAGCATTATTACTAGAAGCTATGGCATCTTGGCATTAATCTTATAAGTGATCCCATAATAAAAGCAGACCAAACAAGGTATAAATGCAAGTATTTTGTATAAATACAAGGTATATATATATATATATATATATATATATATATATATATATATATATATATATATTTCAAATCATATGATGAACCAAGACATGTCTAAGGGTTCAATGTGCACATAAGGACAAAGTCTCGTGCATTGAATTATTAATATTTAATACATTTATTTATTTTTATTGAAATTGTTCAATTCTTTATAGGTAAATTTCAAATTGAATTATTCCAAATAGATCCGAATCAAGCTTTCATGGCATGTCTCATGACAGACCACAATGGACCAATTTGGGACCCAACCTGGCTCGGTCACTGACCCAACATTTGGGCACGAATCCAATAGGGGTCAATCCATAGGGTCACCGCCACTTACGTTCATTACAGAGGAGCCATCAACTCGCGTTACAGCCACGCATTCGTTCATTAACCTCACCGCGGAGAACCCGATCCTGTGTCGTTCGATCACCTCACGCCCTCTCGCGTCTTCGTAGCACCCGCCCTTGCCGTCACACTACAGAGATCGAAGCAGGTTGACGACGGAACAGATCGAGAGAGAGAGAGAGAGAGAGAGAGAGAGATGGGCTTCCTCCGCGCTCTCCACCGCTCCAAACCCTTGCTCCGATCCCACCTATCCGCCTCCGCCTCCCTCCGATGGGTCTCTTCCTCCACCGCACTCCAGAGGCCCGAGTCCGCAGGCCTCGCCGCCGAACCCGCCGACCCGCCCCCGCGAACCCCTGTAGGCGGCGCCAGGTTTCACCTCGCCAAACCCGAGGATGCCATTGAGGTCTTCGTCGATGGATATCCCGTCAAGATTCCCAAGGGCATGACCGTCCTCCAGGCCTGCGAGGTCGCCGGCGTCGACATCCCCCGGTTCTGCTACCACAGCCGCCTTTCCATAGCCGGAAATTGCCGCATGTGCCTCGTCGAGGTCGAGAAATCCCCCAAGCCCGTCGCCTCCTGCGCCATGCCCGCCCTCCCAGGTCCATTTGGATGCAAAGATCCCTTCTTTCCATCGTTCGGGTCCTCATTCCTACCGAATTGAACTTATATTTTGATGTTTTCTTTGTGGTTCGTAGGGATGAAGATCAAGACGGACACGCCGGTGGCGAAGAAGGCCAGAGAAGGGGTGATGGAGTTCCTCTTGATGAACCATCCACTGGACTGCCCGATCTGCGATCAGGGAGGTGAATGTGATCTTCAGGACCAGTCTATGGCCTTTGGAGCGGATCGCGGACGGTTCACGGAGATGAAGAGGTCGGTGGTTGATAAGAATCTGGGGCCCCTTGTGAAGACGGTGATGACTCGATGCATCCAATGCACCAGGTGACGACTTTTCTTGTTGCAATTTTGTAGCTTGAGGTGTCTTGTAACTGAGATTGGTAGAACCATGCGGAAGCAATGAACATTAGATTGCCCAAAATTATTAGAAAATTAATGTCTCGCTAATTGTAGTTATAATTTGAAACATCTGATTTGAAACGAGCAGTTTAATACCAAATCATAAAGTATGCAGTGACACACAGAAGCCTATCTACGATACCTGCGGAGAATTTGCATCAAGAAGACATTATCATCTGTACACTAGACCTGGACATTGGTTTTTGGATTGTGCAAGACTTGATCAGGAACAATAATAGAGTACACATTAATTTATGGATTACCTAATCACATCACCTCCCAGAAAGCTCCTTGGAGGGAAAAGATCAATATGGCAACACAAGTGCTGGTTAATGAAATTATGATGGTTGAGTAAAAAATTCTATGGATTGCTATCGACTAGCACATTGTACTAGTTTCTTTAGTAAATTCTATCCTTAATGAGTTTTGTGGCAAGAGCCTTTATCTCACTACATATGTACTTTCTGTTAAATTTGACCTTGGCTTCACAGTCTAACAGAATGTTTTCATCACCTTGACATAAATATTGTGCTAAAGCAGTAATTTGCTTTTATATTTACTTCTTTACACGAAACATGATAGATTGTAACAAATTCTGCTATATTTCACAGGTGTGTCAGATTTGCTACTGAGGTTGCTGGTGTTCAGGACCTGGGAATGTTAGGTCGTGGTAGTGGGGAGGAAATAGGGACTTATGTAGAAAAACTTATGACTAGTGAACTCTCTGGCAATGTGATAGATATCTGTCCTGTTGGTGCTCTGACTTCTAAACCATTTGCTTTTAAAGCTAGAAACTGGGAGTTAAAGGGAACAGAGACTATTGATGTTACTGATGCAGTTGGATCAAATATAAGAATTGACAGCAGAGGTCCAGAAGTCATGCGAATCATTCCTCGTCTGAATGAGGTCCTCTGATGATTCTCTTGTCAACATTTACATAGATTTTTTTTTTGCTCTGTATACTTTATCAAGCACCAGTTATGTTATTCCTATATTTATCCTCGTTTTCTTTATATTTCATTTGATCTAATAATTATTTTTGGCACTCTGGAAATGCACGAAATCCATTTCTTTCTTGATTGTGTTTCTATAGACATTAGCATCAGGAAATATAAATTTATGGGTCTATCCCCAATGTTTGCTTTACTATAATACCTTTGCTCAGCATGTCTCTGGAATTACTGTTTGCCCTCAATGATGTCGGCCAATGGCAGTTCCCTGAAACTCCCACCTTGACTTTCTTGTTTAGACTTTAGAGGAGTCATGTATTTTTAGTATTTTTATAAAACAAGTCATGTCAAATGTTGTTTTTTCTGGAAACATTAAGTGAATGCGAATTTCAGCTAATAACCACAGAACTATTTCTGCATCATAGGGTGAACAGTTTTGTTGGAAAGGCATAACTATAGTGTAGTGATCTAGATATTCTTTTGTGGTATGCCTAATTTTTTTTTCCTGTCACTCTTTCATTACTTTACATTTACTAATGAAATGTGTTTCATTACATCAATAAACAACCAAAATGTAATTCTATCACATCCTGCTATTATTACTTGAGTGTTAGACGAAAAAGTGGATACACAAGGGTGTGGTTTCAATATGAATACAATTCATCAGTATCCTCCATCTCTAGACCTGGTTTTCATGGTTTTTATGTTGTTACTAAAGACCATTCACTTTTCTTAGTAGCCTCAGAGGCTCGTTCCTGTAGAATTTCTTTTGGATGTTGGTGCATTTCTCGTGATTGTCAGGTCCATGGCTATGAGCCATTTATCCTCATAACTGAGCCCCTAGTCTAGTCTATACTCCAAATTAGAACATAGATGTATCTTAAGGAACCCTTCTTGAGTCATATTGAACAATATGCCTGAAGGACCTAGAAGTTCCTTTTTTTTCCTCCATTCAGATTTACTTCTCTCTTTGATTTATTTGATACTGTAATTCTGATGCAATGACTTTGCTCTAGTTGTCTATGCCTCTGTGGACAGCCAGGTGCCACGTAGGTTGGGTTTTCTATCAATCTTGAACTTGTGTGATACTTTTATGTATTTCACTAAAGAACCTGAGAGAATCAAGTATGATATGTTCTGAGTCCTCTTTGTGTTAGTATAACTAGTCTGGATCAGATTGGAATTCTTTCCACCCCATGAAGATTCTGCAAACTTGCAAGAGTAATTTGGCTAAAGAAGAAAATTAAGTAGATGCTACAATTAGACCTACCAATTAGGCAGACAACCATAAGTAAATGTAAATTGTGTGCATCACTCATTCAGCATGTGATTAAGTTTGTTAGGGTTTATCTTAGGATTGAGTACTTGGCTTAGACCCCAGTACTTAATGAAAGTTTCTACTGCTCATTGTCGAAAATGTGCTTGGATTATGCAGTCTTAAACTCAAATACTTGAATGACATATAATAGATCTCAAAGATCAGAATCATATTCTAAAGCTATGATGCATTTAGGCTTTGGCTGAGGTTAGATTAGATTAAGCTAAACTAATTCAGTCCAAGGGTTCATTCAGGTTTAATTTACTGAATTTAGTCAGCCAAAGTATGGGTAGGTCTCTCAGGCCCCTGTGATATTTTGAAGTGAATCTCCTCCAGTTACATCATACACAGAGAGAACATCATTGATCAGTGAAGCTCTCACTTAAGGAGAATCCCGCTTGTAAAAGTCATGCTTATATCTTGATTAAACATGTAATTGTAATAGTGTCTCACTTAAAATTGCTTGATCAGCTTTTCCCATGTCACGAGCCATTGGATTTACTTTGTTAAATTACCTGTGGGGTTGACTTGCTAAGCACACAGTTCTGATTTTGTAGGATATTAACGAGGAGTGGATATCAGACAAAACACGTTTTTGTTATGATGGGCTAAAAAGGCAAAGATTGAATGATCCTATGATTCGTGGTTCAGATGGACGATTTAAGGCAGTGACTTGGCGAGATGCCCTTGCTGTGGTTGCTGAGGTTGCACATCAAGTGATACCTGAGGAAATTGTTGGAGTTGCTGGTCGACTTTCTGATGCAGAATCTTTGATGGCACTGAAAGATTTCTTGAACAAAATGGGATCAAATAATGTATCATGTGAAGGTAATGGCATCAGTCCTAATGCAGATTTACGTCCTAGTTATCTTCTGAACACAACAATTGCTGGTCTTGAGAAGGCTGATGCTTTTCTGTTGGTTGGTACACAGGTATGTTTTCGTTTGATCCCCAAGTAAACAAATCGTATACTTGAATGTTCCTGATTAGTGGTCATATTAACCATTGCTTTATCTGTTTCAGAGTAGCAGTTTTTGCCTTTACACACAGCAACTATTTCTGTCTGGCTCATTTTATTGTAAAATTTTCATTCTCTGGATCTGTTTTTTAATTGAACTTAAAGAGTTAGAGAGCATTGAGGCGTTGGACTAGCATCTTAACTGCATAATTAATAGTAGAAACATATTTAAGATACTATGATGTGACAACACATGTTGCTAGACACTTAATGGTCATACCTATTGCAACTTAATTTTAGATACACATTGTTTAAATTTGTCTAATAAGGTTACTGGCCCATGGAGAAAAGACTTAAATGTTTTGGCTAATGCAGTTGAAGTTTGTATATTTGTGTTGCCTGTTGCCTGTTGAAGGGTTTTACTAATGTCCGGTTCTTTTTTTTTTATTTTGTATTTGTTTATACTTTGTATCTGTTTTCTAGACCATTGTTATTCAAAGTCTACTAGTATCCAGAATTTGTGTGGTTTTTTAATACGTGAAACTAAGCAAGTGTGCATTAGGATCTTTATGAGCTTCTATATTGTTTTTCATTACATCTAGTTGTTTCTTAATGGCAAACTTGGTATTAACAATAATCATGCAAGCTTTCTGTTATCAAATATTGGGTCAGCAAATAGTTTCAACCTTAATAAGTTCCATAGAAGACAATTTAGATCTTCAATGGACAAAACCTGTAATTTAATAAACGAAGACCTGGGTGATTTAGAGGATGATAATATATTTTTGTAAAACATATAGTCAGAAATACAATGCTTATGAAATTAAGAATCTTCTAGTAATTGTCAAGGTTGCCAGTCTAATGATCTCTCGTTGATCCAAAAATGGCAGCCAAGAGTAGAAGCCCCTATGGTAAATGCAAGAATCCGAAAGACGGTGAGGGCAACTCAAGCAAAAGTAGCCTACATTGGTTCTCCATCTGACTTCAACTATGACCACCAGCATATTGGCACAGGCCCTGAAACCCTCCTTGAGATTGCTGAGGGCCGCCACCCTTTCTGCTCGACCCTGCTAACTGCAAAGAATCCTGTTATCATGGTTGGTGCTGGAATCTTCGAAAGGAAAGACAAAGATGCCATTTTTTCTGCAGTTGAAACCATAGCAAAGTCTGCTAAAGTTGTTAGACCTGATTGGAATGGCCTAAACATCTTACTCCTCCATGCTGCTCAAGCTGCTGCCCTTGACCTTGGCCTTGTATCCAGTCCAATCGAGAGCATCCAATCGGCCAAGTTTCTTTACCTGATGGGTGCCGATGATGTGAATTTAGATAAGCTTCCAGATGATGCATTTGTGGTTTACCAAGGTCATCATGGAGATAAGGGTGTTTACAGGGCTAATGTTATTTTACCTTCTGCTGCATTCAGTGAGAAAGAAGGCACATATGAGAACACCGAGGGATGTTCTCAATGGACTGTTCCTGCTGTTCCCACTGTTGGCGATGCAAGAGATGATTGGAAGATCATTAGAGCCCTATCTGAGGTTGCTGGGGTTCGCCTCCCTTATGATAACCTCGAAGCTGTCAGAGCCCGGATAGGGATGGTGGCTCCAAATCTACTGCACGTGGATGAGAGAGAGCCATCCACGGTATCATTGGAGATGAAACCAAGTGTTCAACATCAGATGAGCCATGCACCGTTCGAAGCTGTAGTGGATAACTTCTACATGACGGATTCTATTACTCGGGCTTCAAAGATAATGGCTCAATGCAGTTCGATGCTGCTGAAAAAGTGAAGCTTTTCACCAGGAGTTGATAGTACAGGTCGACGTTCTTTTTAGTCTCTGGAATTCAGAGATTATCTGAATGCTAGAATTTGCACCTGTGACTGCCAAGCTACTTTTGTATTCATAAATGGCAGGGAAACTATTACCATGTTTTCCTTTCGCAAGAGAAACAAGTTTGCGAACTTGTAGATGGCACCAAAAAATATTGCCTACTGTTGAAAGATATTTATTAATAAAATGCTTAAGATAGCGGCAATGTTTTCCTGCCTTGGCAATAGATTGACAGTGGTCAAACAAATAAAGATTTTATGGTAGGTGAATCTTGTTACAAATCATCTGCGACTGGACGACGATCACTCTGTTTATAGAGGTGATCCTTTTTCGGCTTAATCTAATAGCGTCCGGTAGGGAACAAGATTTATCGGTTCAACACACTCCATGCATTGATATGGATTGCAGTTCAACACACTCCATGCATCGATATGGATTGCTATAATGAATGCCTAACTTTTTTTAGTGACTCTTGATGGGTTTTAGTAATATTGAACGCTCGTTTTAGTAATATGCACATAAATATGATTTCCCAGGATATAGATCTACTGATCGTAATTTGTATATAGTTCTCCATTGAGTCTATTGACCACTGCAGGCTGTGTATTTTTATTGAATATTTATTTGAATTCATTCTTTTGTTAAAAAGTATTAATGCCGGCCTAACAAGTATAGATCAAAGGGTCTCAATGCTTTTGCAAGAAAAATCAGCAACACATCAGCATATAAGATGGATTTCAATGACCAGCACTGGAGTTTAATGGACCTGTATTAATACATAATTTATTTCAAAAACATGTAATGTCTCATGCTTTGTAGAGCCAAGTACAAAATTATAATTGATGAAAGAAAAAGGAAGATGGATCTCCACCTTCAAGTTCTTGGTGTTGCTATTGATCAATTTTGTTTCATGTTATAACAGTAGGAGCAGATCGGCCAGTGAATTCTTTCATCTTTGATAGTTTTATCGCAACGTCAACCTGCAGCAGAAAGCATCGTGTCATGGCCTTATAAGAGTATCTTACTGAGTAGTAAAACGGCATAAAGGCAAAAACTTCTTGCCAGTGGAGCAAGGGCTTCTTGTGAATCCCTCCCAGTCTTTGACGAGTCGTTCTCGTACTGCTCGATGTAGACCCGGATGGTAGCACCTTCGGAACCAGTTCCAGATAGCCGGAAAACCTGAGATTCATGTTGCAGATGCTAATGAGAAATAATTCAATTCACACCTTGAAGAATATGTATGTATATATATATATATGTATATGTGTGTGTCTGTATATGTATATATATATTAGAGAGAGAGTGAGAGAAAAGAAGAATGGGCGGAGGAGCACTTTTAACTTTTAAGCATATCATTAATCAGAATATAAAGTTTTATAATGGTTATTGTAATTTTGTAATAGAAAACAAAAAATGTCTTTAAAGTTTCAATTTAGCATTGTATAATACTGCTTCATTATTGAATGTACAATAGTATCAGTTAACAGATATCATCTTTAGGCTTCAAGTTAGCATGTAAAGTTACCGTATATTATCAACTAACTTAGATGAAATATAAAAAGGGGTTTAGCTTACTAGTCGTGATCCATCCACAAAGAGGTATCGGATGCCTTGATGCTTAGAGACAGAGCCATCTACAGGATCCTTGTATTCAAATTCGTCTGCTTGTGCAACTTCTGAGACATCTGATCTCATCTCCTTGACTAACCTGAATAAATCAAACATTGTTAACTTTTTCTTAAAACCATGTCCTATTTTGCGTGTTAAAGATGACCGGCCTAAAGAACAGGAATGTTCTTTAGCAGCCAAGTAAATTTGACACTGGTATGCATGCAGAAATTTGCCTCCTCCTAAATTGTGCATATTCTATAACTTATCAGGAAAAGGGCAACTAATAAGATTAAATCATAGCAGCCAAGTAAATTTGAACAAAATCGGGAGAGCATCATGGTTTTGGTCACTTTTCTTCACTTACATATCATTTTTCAGTTAGCTCGTGGATGCTTGAACAAGATAGACCAGACTTTATCCTATGTAAACCAATCTTAACATGTTCATAGCTCAGAAGTGCCACAGCCACATCATGAGTCCTCGGCATCTGTTTCATCTTAACATTTTAAATTTGATATGCAAGATACAGTGAAAAAGTGCATTTATATCTCGAAACACAAAATTCAGTAGCAACAAATTACAACTCGATCTACATCAAAATAAAAATGAGAATCTTCAGTTGTACTTGTGTACAGTGATGCCAGGCCAAGCAGGACTCTGGAAAGAAAAATAGGTTCATTCATTCTAACTGAACTTTGTAAGAAAAAGAAACTTCGTGAAGTAAAATATGCAGTTATATTAGAAGCCTAAAACTAATTGCAAGAAAAATCAAGCAAATTATCAGGATTTATATCAAGATCTTTAGAGCCACAATGAAATGTCACAAAGTGCATTGAGAGAATAATAACTGGAAATAACATGATAAAAACAATAAATGCTATAAACAAAAGCATATGAAAGGGGAAAAAAAACATGCAACAAAAGATAATAATGATACAACAAAGAGTGTAAATAAAATTTTATTGTCACAAGGATCACAGCATACTTGTTAAGGTTAGGAAGGGATGATTGAAGATTAACCAAATGTGCCATGAGTTCCTTAGCCGCCCCAGCATCAACATTCTTTAACAAAAACAGTATGAACAGGTTAAAGACAGTACTCTTATAGGCAGCAGTTATGTCAAAGAATGGTAGAAACATACACCGACACTTACCTCATAGTCATAGCGAGTATAGTAGTGTCGACCATACGTGGCCCAATGTCCAAGAACTATATCTTCAACCGTCACCAGCTTTTGCCCCTTGAGATTATCCTTGTTCTTGAAAGCAAGAATAGAAAGCCAAGCTAGAACTGCCCAAATTCCATCCTTTTCACGAATATGATCTGAGCCTGCAAGGAAGGCAACATATTTACATAGAGTACTCTGAATTATAAAAATGCATAATCCTGTTTAGTGAGGGAAAAATTGCAGCCCCTAAAATAATTTACAACAAGAAAATGCAAATGTGTGGAGGGAACAAAAATCATTTAACTTACCTGTGCCAAAGCTTTCTTCGCCACAAATTGAACAAAGTCCTGCATCCATCAAGTTCCCAAAAAATTTCCAACCTGTAGGTACCTGTGATGTGCCAATTGTTGTTTTAAGCCGTCAAATGCATATTCAAAGCTTGAAGCTCCATATTACACACACCTCAAAAAATTTAAGATTCAACTTCTTTGCTACAACATCAAGGGCAGCTGATGTTGGCATACTCCTGAAGGTAAGATCAGCAGAATGATTAATAAAAGGTATACATACAAGAGGGAAACTGATGATTGTAAGAGTTTCCTCATAGATATCATCAAGTAATTGTATTGCTTAATATGCATTACAAAGTAATAATATGTACCAAGCAGCAAAAACAATAAGCAAACGGTTTATGGAGGATGCATTTTGCGTAATTGTTGTCATTTATTGTTTTGAGTATAGGACTTGTGGCTTTAATTTTGTCTCTCACTCCCAAGGTTTGCAAACCATTAAAGGACCTGACAGATGATATCAAAGTTTTCTAAGATAGCCCATATGAAAGCCAAAACCAAAAATGAACACCTCCATCATAAGTTCGCCAACGAAAACCTAGATACAGGAAGCCTAGTCCCCTCATAAGATAGAAGAAAGAAATTTACCATGTCATTGATCCACAATTATCCCTAGTCTTGGCAAAACAAGATCAAGTATATTCAATGTTCTAAATAGTGACCATGATATACGGTCGGTTAAGGTACTTACACTCACTGCACATATGTGGTACATGTAGGTAAATATAGAAGTAGAGTAAAACAATCAAAAGTATGTGTAACAAAGAAACAAATCTTAGAAAATAAGTAAATGTACACTACATGATGCAAAAAACTTATTCGAAGAAATAATTTGAACATGCAGAGTGCAAAGTGACTAAATAGATGTATGCAGCCACATATGACAAATATGCATGTACCACCTATGTAGCTGCACATATTTTATGTGATGCAGTCACATAATGATGAAAAGAATATTTCAGAGGATAAGCCACAATTCTGCTTAACTCATGCTATAGTTTCTGTGAATCTCATGAAATCCATTCTTCAAGCATGCCAAATAGAATAACTATAACATAGAGTTCTAAAAATTCTTAGATACCTGGCAACCCCTTTCAAACCAGAGGCAAAATATGGTATGGCTTCAACAGCATTGGCAGCAATTATGGCAACAGAATCTGATGGAGTTACAAAAAACCTAAAAAAAGAAAAGAAAAGATGTCATCGTCATAATAGCTTTCAACATCATATATATTGTAATTAAAAAAATACCTTTTACCAAGGATCATGTTGCGATCTGCATCACCATCAGCAGCAGCACCAAACTCAGGTGGTTCATTTTGAGAGCTTGATTTACCCAATCCCATTCTTGCAACCAACTCTTTTGCATAGGTGAGATTAGGATCTGGATGGCCACCTCCAAAGTCTTCCTGTTTTAAGATGATCAATGTTTCATAATAAGAATATGCTCTCAAGTCTTAACAATGATCTTCAACTTGAGAAAAGACATAAGAAATGTGTCAAGCTAAGTAAAGAGAAACCTTAGGCGTGCAATTTAAAAGCGAAGATTGATTAGCACGAAGTTCCTCAACAAAAATACGCTTTGCATATATTCCAGCAACACCATGAAGTGCATCATAGCTGAAGAATAGTGAAAAATTAAACTTAGATAACTGTTGCAAGAGCAAGAACTTGCAGATACTAGCAAGGCCCAGTGGATACCAGAATGTGAACTTAGGGCATGAAAGTAGCTTCTGGATGGATTCAAAATCAAAAATTGACCTGGAGTCACCAAAACAAAAAGGAAACAAGATTTAATAATGTGAAAAAACAAATTATTAATATTTTATTCAAAGAATGTCTATCCACAATATGAATTTCAGTAACTTTATGCGATAGAAATTAATGACTACGTTCACTTCAATATCATGACATTCTAAATCGTTATAGTCTTCAATTACTCCACTCACTTAATGTTGTTTACATGTCAAAGCAGCACCAATTAATTAATTTCAGATACACAGAAATATACAGAAACATAAAACTATGGTAATCGCTCCGAAGAAAACTCCATTACTTCATAAGTTTCACATAGTCAGTGGTTGAATCAAAGACATCCACATCAAATGGTCCCTCGGGTCCAGAAAAGCTGCTTAGACCTATAACAGAAATATCAACCTGCAATGCAGAAGTTATTGGATATCAGATTTTCTGCAATCTTGAAATAAATTATGCAAACAAACCTACTTTTAGATGTTGAACATACATCAGGAAGATCTTCTGCAATGAAGTACTCCTTTAGTATTCTAGTATTGGCATAGATCTTATCAGTGATAACCTCAGGAGCAGGCCCACCATTTTCCATGTTATACTTTATTCCAAAATCCTGGCAAAGTAGATTCATTGGTAAATCCAATGGTTTAAAAACTAAAGCAAAACAAGTAATAAAATGTTATCTTATCAATCAAGTCTTGAAAGTTAAACAAGCCAAAGATTATCGAGATGACAGAATTGCATTGTGCATTTAACCTTCTTAGTTAGCAAAGCAAAAATTCCTTCTGATCAGAATGTAGATTGACTTGTTAAAAGAAGCTCTTCCAGAATTTAGATTAACTTGTAAAATGAGACTAGACCTCATGTGGACCTCCTGGATTGTGACTTGCTGTCAAGATAAAAGCTCCAGTTGCCTTTGATCCCTGTTATTATGGATACAATAAGAGACCAGGATAATCTTGAAATGCTACTTTAGGAGGCACAAACAAACCTAGGTCCAAAGCCACCATTATACAAAAATAAACTTAGTCAATAGATGCTAGAGAAACTCACATCCGCACCAATTCTTTCTCGAATGACAGCGGAAACTGCTGGTGTTGAAAGGAGACTGTCTTGGCCGACCCAAACTCGTCTTACGCCATTAGCAGCAGCCATCTTAATAATAATCTGCTGGGTCAAAAAGAAAAGGTAAGAAAAGAACCAAAGAGATGGTAATTACCAAAATATATGCCAAATGAAAATGGTTCACTCACATATCTTATCCATAATATTAAGACCATTATTAGTGTAATGTCATAAAGAATGATGCGATTTACAAGTAAATGCAAAATGAAGTAAAATAGTACCTGAACGGCATCCTTTGAGAAATAGCGACCATCCCCAGAAACAACAACAGTAGCCCCTGAACCAAGAAGATAATGCTAAAATTTGACAAAAGCAATAAAAAGAATAATGTAGTCCTTTAGAAGACATAGATAATAAACAATATTTGAATATTTCTAGGGGCCAGATTTGGATGTGCAATGTTTCACGTCTGTGTCCCTGTCTATGAAGCATTTTACTACAAATGCATGAACAACTTCTTGGCTTCTGTATGTGTTAAGTAGAAATAACTCTACAATTAATCTGTTATGCAATATGTAATCAACATGTGCAACTTAACAGCTTTGTTACAATGGTTCTATTAGATATCAACTTAACTTCTCTTTTTCAGTAAAAAGGATGGAGCACTACTTCAGTATCTTAGAATGGTTTTGTTTTATTTTCTGCATTTGGTCCTGCTGAGTCCTATTTTCTGCCACAATCTTATTGTTCTTCTGGCTTATTCAAAGCCCGCTTAAATGACATATAAGAGAAAATATAACAGATAGCTGTTTTCCTTATCCTCTTTAAGTCTTTATTCCATTGGCAGCCAAATAGTCACCTTGATGAGGCCTCAGATAATACACCAAGTGGCCAATAGAGAGCTTCCGCTTTAAAATTTCATACATCTGCTTGTGGAAGTTTAAAATTGGTTTTCTATGTGCCCAGCTTCAACTTCTTATTTTAGTTTTCTGTTCTCAATTCCTTAGCCTAAGTAGATACGAACAGAAAATCATGTAAGCAAATAATTAAAAGAGACTCACCTTCTGCACTTGTCCCTCTAGCTAATCTTGGTTTAACAAACTCAAGCTCTTTGGCAATCCCTCTTCAAAATCCATTTGTTTTCAGCAAGACCAGAAGTTGGTTGGTCTCAGCTAAAGAGATCCTCTGATATTTTAAATAAGTCTACGGCCTAACTACAGAGTAGTTCCCACCAAGGTTATCTTTCTCACCCGGGCTGAAACGAAACGGGCAATACGTAGCGGTTTGGTACGCGAACTGCCACCGTTTTGGGCAGTCCACTCTGACCCATAAAAGAATAAAATAATTAGTTAATTATCTTCCTCTTACTTATCCTCCTCCTTCCTCTTCCTCTTCCTCTTCCTCCTTCTCTCCCTATACTAACTCCTCTCCTTCCACTTCCTCCATCTCCCAGTGTTTCATTTGTGTCCTGCTATAAATTATGCAAAATCAAATAAGTGTCAGTTGCATCCACCCTTTGACACAGTGTGTCAAATAGTCTTCCAAGGAAGTCGGTTAAGAGTTAAGACCATCAGCACAACAAACGAAAGTAGAATTAATCAATTCTACTGATTATATTGAAATAAAGTATCACGAATCTCTAATGTATCTGAATGAGTCATGGCCTGGTCATGTAAAAATGAAGAAAGGCACCTCTGTGATGTACAACAATCTCTTGACCATCAAATAGTTACACTAGTCTATACTCATATAACAAACCTAGCAAAAATATCAAACATCTGACTGAATCACTGCATCAACAACATAATGCATTTATGGAGGAGAAAATTAAACTCACCCTTCACTTTGTCAGCAGGGAGGGCATTGAATGTTGATTGAACAAAGTTGTGCAAATAATTAGGTTGCTTAAAAACTGACACCTGAAAGCAAATCTCACTTAATTTAGGTTAAACTGAAGGATAAAAGACAATATGTGAAGGTTGAAGACTCCTCTTACATGAAACTCCACCACAAGTAGTAAGAAAGGGGTCAATGTCAAAGCAAAAATCCACCTCACAGTTACTCTATTCCATGAAAAATATATACCATTAAATGAAGCGGTTTACTTGTATTCCTACGATTATGCTAAAGCAGTAGTATCAAAGAGCCAACTTACAAGCAAAAGATGAATCATATTTGGACAGCTGCATTTTGATGGACTCAAATGAAACACAAAAAGAAACCTAGAATCCAGCTCTGTAAATAATAAACAAGTTTTATGTTGTCTTATCTTGTAATAGAGAATTTGCTGCTAATTTTTCTTGACTTTATAGGAAAGATTGATTCACCATATCAAAGGGAAAAAAAACATCTTAATCAAACAGCGAAACAACTCAGTGCTCAAGATTGTACATATCAATATCGTTCAGATGAGCCGACCACCATTACCCTTTGGAATTAAGATTCACAACAAACAAATGGCAAGCGGGGAGAAACAAGTTTCTAAAAGAATTAGTATCATGGCTACCCATATTCTGTCTAATTTAATCAGATCCGATAATTACTCATATAATATGATCACTACAATTGCTAGTGTAAAGTGCATCCTCATATAAAAAGCACACATTTTCTGTAACTGCATAAACAGGAACGAAACTCCGGTCATCGTTTGTCGTACAAATTCTTCTTTGTTTTGCTATCTGTCACTAGAATTTATAGCCAGAGCCACCAATAAAATTGTCCGATCTAACTTGGGCAGCTAGTACTAGACCGAATACCAAATACAAGCGAAACTAACTCAGGTCGGATCTCAAGCAATCTTGCATACAGTATAATAAAAGTTCGTCATTTAGCAACATAAAGAAGAACGCAATAAAAGAAATAATAGGAAAAATCCAAGAACAGGCAGATCGATGTGGAATCCATCGTCATCCAAACGGAAACCAGTCGCCTACGCACATCAAGAAAACAAGATCCCCAAAAATCTGTAGGAATACCAAGAGTATAACCCAGATTCAAAGTGGAGGACGAGGAAGAAGAAGGAAATCAATCGCGCACCTTCTTCCTGAGGCCCGAGGTCCCGGGCTTCTGACCGTCGAAGGGGACGGTTTCTTTTCGCGTCATCGTGAACATCACCATTGGTAAGAGAGAGGCAATCGGCGGAGGAGATGGGGAAGAGGGAGAGAGAAGAGTGTCGTGGCGAGAAATGGAAGAGATTCGAACATATAAAAGGTGGGATAGCATAACCGGGGATCGTGGCGTCGTCGTTTCGCGTGCCGCGGCGCGGTTCTCGAGGCGGTTGGTTCGAGTGGACCCACACGGCCCAAGCGGCAACTGAACCGGGCTCGCCTCTTTCTTTTCTCAAAATTACATTTTAGCACATATGCCATTGAATTTAAATTTAGCATATACTGATATATATAATCTTATATTGATAAAATAATAATAATAATAATGCAAGATGTAAAAATACTTAGAAATATTTAATTTATACAAAGCTCTAATAAAAACAATAATTGTAACCATAGTCTAAATATTATGTTTTGCTTGCAAAACTCACATATATGTGTTTGCTTGAACCAAATTAATTGATTGCATTCATGCATAATGATCTATCTTCAATGTTTGTATTAATCACTTGCATAGCATTGATTAGAACATGGGGAAAAAATAAACAGCGCTTTAGATTTGTTAGTGTGTTGATGAGTCGACACGACTTGGTCCATGGGTCGATGTCGGGAGTCTTTTGTCGGCTGAGCTGGATGCTGAGGTAGGTTGGGCCCTCGTGATGGGGTGTTGATCGATGTTCCTCGGTCCGAGCGTTGTTTGTGTTGAGCAGCGTTTCTCTGTCTCCAGGCTGGTCGGTAGCTCGCCTTCGTACACTGGATAGCAATTCCCAGATTGAGACGCTCGCGGCTCGAGAGTGGCCGCTTTCCTGCAAAAATGATCTTCATCGGGTGATTCCTGACTTTAGCCCATCCGACGAGCATGTCGGTAGTTATTTTTCTCTTCTTTTTCCTCTCCCTCTAGCCGGATACCGATCGAGGGCTTTTATATTACTGTACGAGGGTCGGTCGTACGCGGGTTTGGTGTGTCGGCCGATCCTTGAGGGATGAGACGACACTTTTATGCGGTCGTCGTCCCGGGATGTGCGAAACGATGCCAGACGGTACCGTCCTGAGCTTCCAGGACGGGACATATCAAACAACACCTTGCTACGGGTTCTGACTTAGCCCGTGAGGGTGCTCTCCTTGCTGACTCGGCTATAGCGCGACGTGACATAGGTTGTGACATGTCTTAGACCCAAAATATACTTTATCAAGATTCATGTCATTTGTAGTTTAATCCAGCACTTGTCACATTAAATATCTCAAAAATCCTTAAACAAGAGAAAAATTAATGCTTGCCTCTTGGGAATGAATTAAGTATCTCAAATTCTCCCAACTCCTCTCTTCATCGAACCCTTTCTTACGAAATTTGAAAGAAAATATTTCAGCATCAATTCCGAGTGGCCAGTTGGCAGCCAACGTGGAACATGACTCATATGATAGGAAGCTGACCTGACAAGCGGTGTCCCTATGGTCAGCTCTACACCGCACGAGACTATACAAATCGACGTCGCACTATAGGAATCGGTACAGATCGACTCGCACGATAAGAGATATACGGGTCAGTCGCCCACATGATCATGTCGTATAAGGTACCAACAACCATTATCAATTATCATACTCTCAAGTCATCCCCACAAATATAAATAGTGATCCCCTATCTCGAGATAGGGGATCAACTTTTAACATATTTTTCACTTGCTAATTTAGTCATCGGAGGGATCAAGTCGGGAATCCTTGAACAAGGATCCGTTACGTAGAACCCCTCCGGCGTTGATCGAATTGCAACTCATCCATATCTCGGAGCCATTCTAGCTCTTAGCCCATTCGTACAATCTTATGTTTTTGGAATAGGATCAAGCCATATGAACCTTCAGGCGACAATATAAAGGTACATAACAAAATTATTATTGATTATGATGGTTTCTTTTCCACTAATAACTCTGGAACGGACTGTTTCATTCGTTCTTCGATTGGAGTCATTGTTGATGTAGAATGTGACATCCATCATGCATCGGATCCGTTTCACGCAGAATGTTAGATCGTCTGGGATGCATCAGAAAAACCAAACCATCTTAGCTTGAGAAGCATCATCATCGGATCAGACTGACTAAGCCTCACGCAACTGCAAGTTCTTCAAACCTCCTCATCCTTATCATGACTTCTTCTGTAAACATTATACGTGGGGACTTTGTCCCAAGAAAAACCAACTCCATCTCACATGAGCTTGCTGCCAAAGCTACAATTAATTGCACCCCTCTTTCAAATTATGATTCTATTGATGTACTCAATGACATCTTAATGATATAATTATTTTTAAAAATATAAATTAACAATTAATGAGATTATTTAGCATAGAGAAAAAAAAGTTCTACAATTTGGCAATAGAAGTTTCTTGCAAAATTAGAAAACCATAAGTGTTGCAATTTGATAATAGATCGTTTGTATGCATAAATGCAATGCAAGCACGATAACACGTGAGAAATTATCCGTTTTGAGTATACTATATGTGATTTTATGCAATAGAATGTATTACTAATTTATAAGTCATAATTTGTCTTTAGCAAAAATTATTTATTTTAGGTGAGCCCACATGATTTTATCCTTTTTAAATGAGCTAAAAGATATGATTTCTCAATGGATGTTATCCAATAATTATCTCATATAATTAGACCTCTCTAACATTATGATCATTAGATTTTAAAAAATTATATTGAAATTATTATAATTATAAAAGTAAAATATATAGGTCTATTTATCATAACATCATCGATTTTACCAATGAAAACATGAAAACAATCGACAAAAAAATAATATTAATGTTTCAGTTGATGATGATGAATGACGATACTATTGAGAGCTACAAGTGAATAATATAGATAAGGAGAGTGATATCGAAAGATGAGAGTCACTCTACATTTGCATCGGTGTCAACGTAGTTGTCGAGTAGTGAAAGTACCGTTCGACATTTGCATCGTCGTCGACAAGCAAAATAATATCGCTCGGAACTGCATCGACATCGAAGCAGATACAAAGCAACTCATATCTCTCGTCACCATTATCCTCATACACAATAGCTATCCGCGGCCCTCAACGGTGCTGCAATTCGTCACTATCGACGCCTTTCATCACCACCAACCGAAACATTGAAATTATTTTTTATCTATTATTTTTGTGTTTTCATTGATAAAACCAACGAAGTTACGTTTAATAGAATGTTTCACTTTTATAACTATAAAGATTCAAATATAAATTTTTTAAATTTAAAAACGAATATGTTAAGAAGATCTAACTATAAGAGTAATATTTAATTAGCCATTTGATAAGTGATCATTTATCTTCATCAATATGAGAACTATATAATTCATTAAGGATATATCCCAACCTTAGCTCTTATAAAAGTATTGATTTTCAATTATTTTACTTATTAAAGACTAAATATATATTAGAAAATAAATCCAAAGTGTTTTCACCCTTACAAGTAAATAAATTATTTAATTAATACTATAAATAAGGTCATCTCTTTGACCATTAAATTTTATTTAGAACCACAAAGCCGATTTAGAAAATTTCGTTGAAGGATCTCATCGAGTAGGCTGCCCATCGTCGATGCTTCTATATGGAGATATTTGATTCAAGATTTATCTTACAAATCCGGTTCTTAATACGATAAGATTCATTTGATCACATCAAAGTGACGATCCAATGACATTGCATCAGGAGCTAGATTAGGGCACGAGCATGAGCATGAGCATGGCTTGGCAGGGCCAGCCGATAGATGCCTCCAATTAATTAATGGTCGGTCATTGATGACGATGTAATTAACTATTAGGATGAGATCCAACGAATAAGTACATAAAACATATTTTTGTAGTTTTTTAGTGGCAAGTGGGAATGGGTTGAGGAAAAGCTGACTTTATCCTTGATTTGATAGTTATTAGAAAAGTCAACTAAATCCGTTCTGGTGCAAATCTAGGCGATGATTGTGATAAAAATGCAATCAATTTGAAGGACAGATTGAGTTGGATCCTTTGAACATTTATCGTTCGTGGCCCCAACCACCTATGTGCAGAACTAAATAATTCGTTAGCAATAAACCCCCAAATTTTAAGATAAAATTACATACATATATAAATATAATTTAACTTATATTTCTACATGATTATTAGATGGATAAATAAATTTACATATTAATTATTTTGGAGGAACATTTCTCGGTTGCCAGTGACTTATTGAAGCTTCTGGAAAAGGTTTAGGCGAGCAAGTCACGTACGTTGTTAACGAAGTGTGTGTTGTGGGGTCGGAACACGACCAACCCGCCGCACTTTAAGGCATTTATTGGACCCCATCGACCCACGGCCGCCATTTCTGCCTCGCTTTTCCCACGCCTACTCGCGTGCCCGCTCGCACATCACCGGCCACTGCCACTACTACTCCCTTCACGGGAAGTCGCATCGTGTTCGATGCTACCATGGGTTCCGCTGGTAAGTGGGCCTCCGGTTAGTGACACGTGTTAGTTCTCTTCGGATGGACGCCAAAATCACACCGCCAGGGTACAGCATCTCACGCTTGATTCACAAAACACTGATCTCGATGTCTCGCACGTGTCGATCAAGTCGATCGATCAAATTGGATTGATGCAACGTGGACCAGCTGTAATTGCCGTCTCTGCTCGGACGAGCTGCATTCCTATCGGACGCAAGAGGAGAAGGCCCCACGGTGATACTGACCCTCCGTGTCTGATGGCGTCCGGGTGAGAAGGTGGCAGCTCCTGTCGATATTTTACTGCTCCACCAACGAATGGGCGGCCCTCCTTCGACGGCCGCCTGTGTTGTGCGCTCGGCCGAGCAGCACTCGCACTCTTCCCCCCGCTTTCTCCGTCTTCGTGGACTGCGAGCAGAGAAGCGCTGGATCCTGCCTGCGGACGGACAGCTGAGCCGCTCCGTCACTCGAGAAAGGTCTTAACATGCGGGGTTCCGTCGTCGGGTCCCACCGACCCATGTCATTTCCGTTGCGAACAGGCCTATATAAGCTCTCCTTCCGAAGCCTCCCGACGACACGAACCAGTCTCTCAACTTCTTCAAGACGATGGCTCGAAAGATTTGTCTTCTCTTTGTCTTATTCTTCTCCTTCACCGTCCTGCATGCGCTCGCCGCCAGGATTCCGGTGGTCCAAGCGTCGCAGCCGCAGGCCTCCTTCGGCGAGAACTCCACGGAGTTTATCCGGGCGCGGTGCGGCGCCACTCGGTACCCCAGCCTCTGCTACAGGTCGCTCGCCGGCTACTCCTTCGCCGTCCAGCAGAGCCCCATCCAGCTCGCCCGATTCGCCACCAACCTCACGCTCGCCCGCGTCGCCTCCCTCTCCGCCCACGTCACCTCTCTCCGACGCGCCTGCGGTACTGCCAAGTCCGCCTCTGCCTGCCCGGAGGCGGGGGCGCTACGTGACTGCGCGGACTCACTGGGCGACGCGGTTGACCTGGCGCGGCGGACTGCGGGGGAGCTGTGCGGCCTGGAGGCGGAGGCGGCGGGGTCCGCGGCGGCGGTGTGGCGGATGTCCAACGCCCAGACGTGGATGAGCGCCGCGCTCACGAACGAGGACACATGCGTCGATGGCTTCGAGGAGGTGGGACCCGAGAGCCGGGCGAAGGCCGACGTCTGCCGCCGAGTGTGGCTCGTGAAACAGTACACGAGCAACGCTCTCGCCCTCGTCAACGGTATCGTCGCCAGCCGATGACCATGCGTAGATCTCTCTCTCTCTCTTTCGTTCCCTCTTCGTGCTCGTTTGTGCCATGTCCACGTCTCTCTCTCTCTCTCTGTCTTTGCGACTGCTTCGGTAGGGAAGAGTTTGGTTGATTTGATACCGATGAACACTACATATGTTTTTCTGCAGGATATGTTTCATCTTTTTGCAGAGAAAAAGGGAGAAAACAAAAAAAGAGTTTGAGTTGTCTCTCTTTCAATCAGTCAGGCACCAATCATGTCGTGGTTTATTGACTGCTGTCTTGAGAAGCACTTAGAAATGCTCCTTCGACTTCCACACAAGGATGATGTTTATTGACCACTGTCTTGGGAAGCACTTGGAAATGTTCCTTAGACTTCCACACAAATAAAATATAGTGGAAAGCATTTGATCGTAACTATTAAACATCATCTTGATCCATGGATAGTGACACGTGGAAGAGCACCAATACCTCGACAATACGTTATCAACGCATCATCGTTCATGAGCCAGCTTTTGCGTCATCTGATCATCGGATTCAGCGCATAATCCCACGATATCATTAACCATAAATAAATTTCATATTTGATCGAATCATCTGAATCATTTACTAACTCAAATCTCATAAAGATTTTACCGAGTATTTTCCTATATTATTTTGTAGGGTCTTACCTAACATCAATTGTGAGACGGACTCGAAAACAAACCTCAATTGGATCCAAATCTTCTACTCGTTCAACGAATTAAATGATCACTGGTCATCCACAAATTCTATGCAAAGTAGATCCGCATTCACACGTGCCTACAGATTCTTGAGTGCCACTTTCACGTCCATGAAAAAGAGCAACACATAGCCACATGTATCCATCCATGTATGGAACAAAGAGGGTGTCGGAGGAGATAACAAGGGGAGGACGGTTGAGGCAAGGTGGCAACCAACAAAAAGAGGAAGTGCAAGTCGAGCTTCTCACTGATAGATCGAGCGTCGATGGGAGCGAGAAAGGGGATCTTGAGGGGAAGTGGGGGAGGGGCTTCTGTCGCCTTCGCTTTGTCGTGAGACCGAGCCATTGCCCAATGGTGGTGAGGTGGGGGATGAGGAAGGGGTGTGTGGAGATTGGAGAGAGCAAGGGTGAGGCTGTAGGTGTTACGGTCGTTGGTGAGAAGATGAGAGCGATGGCCATAGGAGGGGTGACAGGGCAATGAAAGGTAAATAAGGGTAATCTTGAATATTAGAATAAAAAGAGGAGGGAGAAACAAAAAAGAAGAGGAGGATATTTACATTCACGTTTAGAAACATTAAAAAAAATTAAAATAGGATTATAAATAGTAAAAATAGGATTACAAATATCCGTATGAAAATTATGCTTAAATTACATCTCCGTCCCCAACCGACATAAACCTCGAAGGATCCCAATTTGTTTGTTTAACGAAGTATATGTGCCGCGAGGGCTCCACGAAAAGGCTGGCCGTTGCAGGGGCAGACCACCTCCCATTCGCTTCCCACTGTCCGCCAGCTCTTCCGATCCCACATGGGCGTTCCGCAGACGACGACCCCGTGCGAGAGACAAGAAGCGGGCGAGAGAGGATGGCGGAGCGAGGAAGACTCGCGCGCGGCGATGAATGCGGAAGATGGAGAGAAAGAAAGAGGGGGTTCGGAGAAAAAAGACTTCGGAACGAGGGTTCGCGTTTGCTCGCCGTGGGAGAATTGGATCCTCGTGACGCGTAAGCCCTCCCCTCGATCTCCACACCGCGGCTCCAATGGCGAGAATCCGCACATTGTGACGGGTTTCGCGTCGCCGCGCTTGATCGAGGCTGGGAAGGTGCCCCTCCTTCTTCTTCGTTGCTCTTCGATGCCTGAACTTCTGAATATATTGCCTTTATAATATTCTTCTCTGAGTCTGCAATCGCATTTCATTGGACTGTTCGTTAATTATTGTTTTCTTGTTACTATATTCGGAAATCTTGATGGTCTACATGAACAACAAAAAATTCAAACAGACTATGTTGCACAGCCACGATAGGTCATTGGCTCAATTCTTGGTGATGGCCTAGACTGCCACCTAAGGATGAAGGACAGGAATGATGCAGTTGGTATCAATAATAATTAATCATATTAAAGCATTTTGATACTCATATTTTACCAAATTTTGCTTCATTTACTCTTGCAACAAAAACATGAAGGCTAATGGAAAAGAAGTAGTGTAAATAGTGGATATAGAATTTGAGAAGGCATGTCATGCTGGTAGAAATTTTGCCTACCGATCGCTTATATCCCATCTTTCTGACATGAGTAGACACACTAAGAAAATGGCCTATATGCCTTTGTACGATGAAGCATAGGTGTTGAGGCAGATGTATGGAATGAAGATACTTTAATGTTCTGATCTTCGATACCTGTACTGCACTATGCTTTCTCCATATTTGTCTGACGGTGCACTAGCGTCATATTTTTCATTTGTTATTCTATGGTTCAACCTAACAAACATCAATTCACCAAGGTTTCCACCATCTGAAATTTCTGTTATTGTGATTTGTTGAATTATCGGTTTCTAATCGAAGCTCTCATCTGGTCATGTCTTAGAACTTGCCCTACATTGGGAACTTTCTAGTTCTTCTCATATACTGTGTTCTTTGGCTAAGAAAATGGAGCTTTCAGTCTGACAACTGGGAATGCATGGATTAATTGAGACTAGGATTCTTCATGAATAAAGGAAAAAGTTAGCAATTAACATACAAGTCAGGGGAACCTTGAAATATTTTTCTTTGTTTTTTTTGCCTTCAAATTATAAATACCACTTGCAAATCGTAAGCTTTATGAATATTCCACTTCTTCCAATATTTTTTTTAGCTAGGAAATCAATATCATCATTTAACAGTTGATTTGATGTTGACAATGGGATGTAAAACTTTATAAAACTGGGTCTTCGTGATTTTGAGTTATACTTTGAATCAACCTTGTATTAGAAATGAAGATAGTGATGATGTTGATCATTGGATCATGACCTTATGACAGACTGTAGAGGCCATTAAGTTGGTTCAGATCATGGATGAATTTGTAACTGAGTTTTTTCTTTTTGATTTTTTTTTCTTCTTTCAGAAAGATTGATGGAAAAAATAAAATTAAAATGTGAGTCAGTTATAAATTAAATCAATGAAGAATGTTCCTGACAAACATATAAGAAACAAGCACCATGTAAAAGCAAAACTTGTGTACACCCACACTAGCTTGTTACAAAATAAGAGAATAAGATATTATTTCTTTTTGTGGTATCATATCTTGGCAAATATCATACTGTATAAAGATGTAAAGTTACAAGAAAATATCTATCCAACTTCCATGCTTATCACCATAAGTCCAGAGATGCTGGTTTTAACTATTTCTAATAGATAGGAACTGTTGCCTTGGATACAATCCCGCCAAGTGTGCCTCATGGTTTAATAAATAAATAAAGGATGCCCCTGAATAGAGTTAACAAAAATTACTCTTAGAATTTTATTTCAATAGTAGATCTATAAATATATCAAGGATTTTAATTTCGAATGATACTACCCGTACTGGGCGGTATGTACCGGTCCGTCAGCAGATCGGTACGCGGACCGCTTGCTACCGGGCAGTATCAACTTGGCCGCGGCGAGGGAAGAAGAAGCATCGAGGGAGAAGAGAGAGAAGGCGTTCAAAGAAGAGGAAGAATCGAGAGAACCTTGACGCTTCCCGATCCGACGTTACCCTCCCTTGACGATCCCGATCCAGGAGGTAACGGAGAGGCGGCGGCTCGACTTCTTCTTCGCCGAAGGCCGGAGACGTCTGCGGCCTTCGACGTCTTCATCAAACGTTGTAGATGCGGAGAAGACCGCGCGTCCTCTCCTCGTTTGATGCGACGAGGAGAAGAAAAGGAGGTGATGTCGTCGAGGCAACGTACGCCTCCGTTTTTCTATTTTTTATTTTTTATATTTTTTATATTTTAATATTATATATATATATTGAGCGATACACCTTGGTGTACCGCTCTATCATGCACTTAGCTGGTTTTGTCTAAGTCGTACGACACCCTTGTGTGTTCGTCTGCAAAGTTCAGTCTCCCCGAAACCTCCTATGATCCCTTAGGACCTACAAAAGAGAAAACGAGTTAGAGAAAGCGTCTCACTTAGGATCCACAAGTAGTCATTTCAGCAAACATTTCATAGTAAATGGAAATTACAAATAGACTTCACAAGCTCTGAATGGTTGCACAACAAAGGGTCCAAAATGGTCCACTACAGACCAAAATCCCGACAAGTGTCCACATGACACAACCTTTTTTTGCAAGCCTAGGACGACTACCAAAACCAAAGAAAATGAGGCTACTAAGCCTACTGCCAGCCCTTTACATGCTGTGCAAAGCATAAACAAAACCGAAAGATACAGACATGCATGAGTATTACATCAAACACCCGGTTTATAATTCTGTTCGTGTGCCCGTACTGTACTGTATCGAGCAAAGCTCGAAACTCCGGTACAGTATGAAATTACGAACCTTGAAATATATCACAAATTATTTTTGTGAGAATTATAATCAATGAGATTTATGAATCAAGAATCCTTCAGTGTCTACTTTTGAATAGTCAACAGTCAATCATACTTTATCTATCTTGGCTGAATCATGAATTTTGTTCATCATGCTAATTACTCTAATTATTAAGAGAAATACAATTGCATACTTTGAACAACAGAGTTCTTCCTTCTTTTTGCTGAAGATTAAAAGACCATGGCTTTGACTCTGGAATTCTAAAATAAGTTACTACAGCATTTCCTTTGCAGAAATGCAAGAAATTGTGAATAAATCCACTTAACATTGGTATTATTTCTTTCATAAATTATTTGAGCATTTATCTTACGTATCATGGTTTACAACAACTCTGTGGTCTTTGTTTGTTATTCTGCTGTCTTTCCCAATTCCATATTTATTTTATATAATTTATAGCATCTAGCACTATATCACAGGAAACTGACTTAATATTTGTTACTTCTGTTCATTATGAAAAAAAATATTGTCCTCTCGGATGAATCTTCTATTGTATTTTTGGAGAATAACATATTTCTTACTGTTTCTGTCGCACAAGTGCCTACTTTCTTGCAATAACTAATGTCATGTTTTGACTACATACCAGCAAACACTAATTCAGCCAAATGCCTAACAGGCAACCCTCACCCATCTAACTGCTCAACGACAAAATAAGGAAGCTTAACTTGTACCTGTTAGACTGGTTGACAAATTGATTATCTGTAAGTTGTGTTATGATGTTCATTGCTTTTGGGAAGTGCTGGTTGAAGGCATAACTTTTTGATTTTTCCTTTTATTTTCCATGTTTCTGTGTTAATTCTTTTGTAATGTCATGTGTCTCAGACAAAGGGCGAGTGATGAGAATCATCTAGCTTTGTAAAGGATTTCAGAAAAGTTTATTCTAGGCAAAGAAATCAATAAAAAAAGTCATCAACTAATTGGTCCAGAAATTCTCAGAGTTGTGTTAAAAATTGAAAAATCTTTTGATCTTTTTAGAGACTCTTTTTGTATCAAGTGCACTCATTTATTATTTAGATGTTCTAGAAGTCACATTTTGAAAAGGCATACTAATTCCTTAGGAGATTACTCTTGGGAATCATTGCCTTCATTGATTATACTAAGACTCCTAAACCCCTATAAATAGTGGAGTTTGTCAATGGATGAATTACTTCAGATTTGAATGAAAAGAATTGCATCTTCCCTGGTCTCGTACTCTCTTCTCTTATCTCACACTTCTCTTTCTTTCTCTCTACTTCCCTACTTTGTTCTACTTCAGCAAGTCTTGTGCAACTCATATTGTTTACCTCGTCAAGCATTTAGATGTATTCTAATCAATCCGACACTTATGTATTCCTTCCAGATATATCTGAGCACAATAAACTTTACATGCATTCTCTGATAGATTGCTCACAAACATCTGTGGAACATTAGAAATTTCCTGATACTTCTAATAGAGGATTTTGCATCTCTTCAGCTCTTCTCCTTAATTTATAACTTCTGCTTGCTGTGTTAGGTACATGGGAGTCCATGCCAACTGAATTTTTAGTCAATGTTGTCTTCTTGTCTTAAAATGCTATTTTGATCTGAACTTCTTATCAAGAGAACTCTTGTGCATAAAACTCATCTCTTATTTTATGACTGGATCATTTGCATAATCTAGATCAACTGGCGTGGTTCATTCAGCATGCATTTTGCGTTAGGAAGAGATGTTATAGATGTTTTCTTTACCATTTGTATACTCATCGTCATTGCTACTGTACATGGATTTGTTGGATGCACTTTATCCTTGTTTGTAGTTACCACTTGTTGTGGCAGTGCTGCTTAGTTGCTATTAACTGGCTATATTCTTTAACATCACATGGCCTACTGCTTTCCTATCATTTCATATTGTAACTCTCCTGTTTATAGGTATTTGACATACTAAATGGATCTCATTATTCTAATAATCTACATGGCTCTTATATGTAAATATGTATTTCATTTACTCCTTTATATATAATTGTATGACTTAATTTATATACTGTAGACAGACCTAACAATGTTCTTAAATTGTTTTGTTCTGAAGACTTCTGTTATTAGGAATAAAGGAAGATAATGCAGTTGGTTTTGTTTTATTCCCTGATCCAGTTGAACCACAAGTAGCAGATGGCCTCTCCTCCCAGCAGTGAGAATGTGACACAATGTAAAACATGTCGCTGCGGAGAGGGGGATACCAATCTCTTGACCACAAGGGCCTCTGACAATCCTGACAAACAGACATATAAATGTCCTAATTGCGATGTTAGTAAGATTTTGTTTAGTTTAAGAATGAATTCTTTCTGCTGGCACATTTTATTTCACTTGCAAAAATATGTCATGGTTCATGTTGGATTTAAAATTTTCAAAGGTTGAATCTAAAATTTTCAAAGGTTGAATCTAATTTCATTCTATGTAGCTTGGTTTGTAATGGGTTAAAGCATTTTTAAAGCATCCTTGATTTAGTTACAGAATCTGAAACAAAGTCCAACACTAGGTTCATCCTCGATTTAACTGTTTTACTGATTCTGATTGTTTTTTAAATGGCCTTTCACTCATATGGAGCATAAAAATATTTGTTAGAGTCCACTCTGGAGTTTAGATTTTCTTCCTGATACCTTTATAACCTTCTTTGTTGTGCCTTAAACCCTCCTCATAGTATCTTACTGATTATATTGGATATGATATGAAAGCATGAGTTCAAATTCTTACACCCATTATAAGAACCAGTCTTGTTGGGACACCTTCCAGCTTCCATCACTAACCTGCTATACTTATCCTGATACTCTTTTAACTGGCTTTCACCCTTTTGAGGAGTATGAATCTTTCACAAGCCCTGATTTGGAGTCTAGATTGACTTTTGGATGTTCTAACTGTAACTTTCTATTGTGTGCCTCGGACCCACCTTATAGTAACTTACATTTCATATTTGGTATTGTAAGCATGAAATCATTTCATGATTATATTATAAGATCCATGTTTTATTAAGGCACTTTTGTTTGCAATTGCTAATATTGTATGTCACATGTGCATTCTTTTTTATTAGGCAGAAGATAAGAATGTGCTGATCACTAGTTTGAAATGACTGCAGGTTTTCAAGAGCGGGTCACTTCTCGTTTCATCTAAAGGTAACTTTTCACTAAAGTTGCTGGGCAATCAAGGCATTTTCAATAATGGGATTATTGACATACTAAGATTTTTATTTCTTTTGTTCCTATATATTGTTCTGGTGATCTATTATATGCTTGTTTGGAAAGAAAGCCAGACATTATCCTTACAAAATTCTTATATCATTTACTTACCGACTTATGCCTGTGTCCAAGTTATGTCTTGCCTTTTTGTCTTTTTTAGCTTACTAATGAACCAGTAAGACTGATTTTTTTTCCTTGTTTTTTCGATTCTTTTAACTCTTTATGGAATAGAAGTAATGATCTTACTTGAACTTGCTATTACTTCCTTCTAGAAAATAGCATAATCGCAAGTCTAGGCATTACTTATTTGCCGAAACCCGCCTTCCAGTGGCTTAAAGCCTTGAACTGTCATCGAAATTGAATGCTTTACATCTATATTTTGTTCCATAATTGGTGTTGATATTGAGGGTAGAGAATCTGTCATCGGAACCCATCAAGTATGATAGTTGTGACTTGTGAGTCTTGTGACTGCCACATGAAGTCGTAACATAGAGCCCTCTTAGATGGAGAACTCATGATTTGCATATAGAGTAATGAAGATTGATGAATCACCAACTGGAGTTTGGCCCATAATCCATGGGTTAAGCTCAATTCAGGACTTGCAAACCAATATTTTGAAACATAAGCAATTGAATGTGACTGAATGATTTAAATAATTTGTAAAACTACTGTAATAATTTGTTGCATTTAAATATGCATAGGGACCAGTTACTAGGATTTAATAGATATATGAAATAATGAATGCCGTAGTTGAATTTAGCCAAAGCTCATGGTAAAACAGAAGGTTTCTCTTTCTCTGCAATGACTTTCATAATGAACACAAAGTGCGTGTCAGATCTAGACTGAATTTAAGATGCTAGGATTCCCCAGACAACTCATGTTCTAGCTGCTGGATAGATGTACCGTGTCAGCATGTTACATGGGGTACATCCATATCGTTAATCTATAACACATGTAAATCAACGAGTGTGTTTGGACAATGACAAAAATTTTTGATACATCAATGCATATACCATCTCTACCTGGAATATGCATGTGCTGGTACAGCTCATTGTCCTTACAGATGTATATTTTTGTGGTTAACAAAAGACTTTTCTATGTTAATTATGAAGACAAATTTCAGAATGTGAAAAAAAGGGAAAGAATGTAGCTGGTCAAAGAGAAAGCTGAAGAAACTCATGTGATGATTTATTGGAGAGGAGACAAAAGAGGAAAGAAGGGACAAAAATAGCTTGTATTATATATTCCATTTGATTCAATCCCTGGTAACTTCTTGTTTTAATATAATAATATCCTCTTTGATTTTCATGAATGCTTCCTCTTTTCATCCTTTTGGTTGAAGAAACCAAAGTTTAAAGTTATCCATTATTATTAGTTACTACCTCTAAACATATAAGAGACACAGTTAAAGAATAGCAGCTGCCCTTTAGTTCCAGAGCAAATCTGATAAAGGCTTTTGGAAGAACTCAAGTGCAGATTGGATATCTTGTTGACTTTGCTTTCTGTTATCACAAGTTCATTGATAAGCTGGTCATGTTTCAAACATCGTATCTTCCTAGCCCTTTGATTATGCTGTTGAAGACCAAATAGTAACTGTACCACTTAAGATTTAACATTTTGGTATGGTGTGAAATGTGAATATTGGATGGTGGTTGCACCAGACACCAGGGATGTTCCTGTATGGACCAATGTACTGATAGCCGGTATGAGTTTGTATTGTTCAGACCAAGGATTGAAATATCGTACCGTACCGGAGTTTCGACCTTCTCTCGGTACGGTATGGTACTGTATATCGAGTGGTATACCGTTCGGTATATATATATATATATATAAATATATAAATTAATATATATATATAAGTAAAAAAAAAATTTGGCGACGTCGCCTCTTTCTCTCTCTCTCTCTCTCTATATATATAATCTTATATATATATATATATATATAAATTAAAAAAACAATGTGTCACATCGTCGAGGTGACGTTGCAGAAAAACTATATATATATATATAATATTTTATTTATATATATTATATATAAAAATTTTGAAAAAAATGTGCGACGTCGCCTTCTCCCCGGGCGGGGAGACGTCATAGAAAAACGAGGCAACGTCACCTTTATATATATATATATATAATTTATAAATAAAAAATACTGCTCGGTAGCGAGCGGTTTACATACCATTTTATTGTTCGACCGGTATATACCGCCTGTACTAGACGGTATCATTTGAAACTGTATACCTTGGTTCAGACAAGTGTCCACAACACCACTTGGTATGGTTTGATATGAGTGGTATTTATCGGTCTGACAGGTTACTGGTTCAGTACACTCGAACTAGACCTATACCAGGTGGTACCGCCCAATACACTGTGGTACAAGGTTGATAGTGTTTGGTACCACCCAGTGCTAGGCATTTTTTTTTTCTAAATTTCTAAATTTTTATTTTTTTGAAATTGGTAGACACAGGTATTTTGAGCACTCAGTACACTGGTATGCAAGGTTCGCTGTATCGTACCGTACCGGCGTTTCGACCCGGGCTCGGTACGATACGGTACCGGTATACTGGGCAATACATCAGGGCGTACCGAGCGGTACACCCTATTGTACCGAACAATTTTATTTTATTTTTATACTGTAGTAGTGCTACAGTATAGTACTGTAGCACTGTAGCGGTACCGGGCGGTCCGCGTACTGGTAACCCGTCGGACCGGTACGTACCGTCCGATACGGGCAATACGCTTCGTTATGGCAGACCTTGCTGGTATGGACCCATATAGTACTGATCCGATCCCTGACTGGGATACTACTGTTATATGAAATTATAATCCTTGGTTCAAACCAAGAGAAAGTGGAGAGGAGGGGAGGAAAAGGAGGTGGAGAAAGAGGAGGATAAGGAAGGAGGAAGAGGAAGAGGAAGCTGAGTAGATGGTGGAGTACTAGAGGGGACGAGGAAGCAGTGATGGTGGTAACAACACAGCGGGGAGTGAGGCGGCTAGGAGGAAGGGGGAGGGAGAGGGAGCATGAGAGGAAAGAAAGAAAAGAAGAAAAAAAGCGCTTGCTGCTGGTACCTTCGTGTTTAACCATTAAGAAGTGGCAGTACACCAAAGACAGTAATCATAATGGGCAGTAAGCCCGGTTTCAAACTGGATTGTGTGACATTGTTCAATTAACATGCCCAGAATCTGGCCGAACTAGTAAATACAGGTTGGTACAGCCTGATCTAACTGACATTTTAATTCTTGGTGCCTCTATTTCTCAAGTCCTATAAACTGTCTCGATATATATATATATATATATATATATATATATATT